GGGGGGGGCGGGGCGGGGGCGCGGGAGCGCGCGCATCTCGTCCGGACAGCGTCCTGCACAGTGCGCCTGCGCCGGAGCGTGGGAGCCTGGCCCACGTGGTCTCCGGTCGCCCCGGGAGCTTTGCGTTCCGCCTCTGTGGGCCACTGTACCCTTAGCCCGTGCCCTAGAAATGTTCGTTGCCTAGATTCAGCCCCGTAGTTAAGTTTGTGTTTTGTATTTGTTCTGTTTGTCTTTCGAGACAGGCTTTCTCGGGGTAAACTTGGCTGTCCTGGAACTCACTCTGTAGATCGGGCTGGTCTCGATCTCAAGAGATATGCCTGCGCCATCACCGCCTGGCTCATTGTGAGTTTTTGTTTGAGTGTTGCTTGTTTGTTTTTCAGAGCTCAACTAGAGCGCCTCCTCCACTGCCTCTAATTTTAAGGAAGGGGAAGTTCGCAGGTAACTCTTCTCAAAATTCTGAATTCGGTAGTGAACCCATGACCACAGATTAGGTAGGGAGGAGAAGGAGGTAGAGACAGCAGAGATCACGATATCTGGGTTCCCACCCAGCTTTACCACCACTATTTTAAAGCAAGACACGGCTCATCAAGTTCGACAAATGCAGGAAGGTTAGATGGGATCAGGCCTCAGTTAAAACCCACAGCCACCTTTTTGTTTATATTTCTGCGCCAGAGTCTTGGCCTATAGCCTAGGCTGCGGTCCAACTTGCTTTGAACATACTATCCTACATCGGCCTCCCAAGTGTTAGGATATTGGCCTGTCATTTCTATTTCTTTACACATTTACATCTTGATGAACTAATGTCTTTTACCATAACACTGTGCTCTGAGGACTCGGTTTGCTGTCTCTGCCTTTAGGGATTACGTTCTCAAATGCCAGATTCTTTGGCACCTTTTCTTTTCCGTTGCACACTGTGCAGTCTCACTGAGCTCCCCAGAGGACGCCACAAATTCAGAATAACCCAAGTGCCTATAACCCGTTTCAGTTAGTCTCTACTCTTAATCTGCCATCCATGGCCACACCAATCACCTCATAATTATGAGATAAATAAAAAGTAATAATAAAATAATAAAAATCTCACAGTTGCCGTAGACTCAAATCCCTCTCCCTGGTACCATGCCGTCTGTTTTGTCTCCAGCTGCTGTGTCTTCTCTCCTTACCCTACCTAGAATCAGGGCCACTCTCTCCTTCCCCAAGTTGGCTTCTACCGTCATCAGTTTCCCTTGGAACTGTCTAGGGTTCTTTCTTCCATATCTCATTCCATCCCTCCACTCTCCCCTATACATCTTTCTCCCTAATTCCTGCTTGGACTTTCTAGAAGTCTTCAGTTCCAGCGCTTGGGCACAAGGGCCACACCCAGATTGTCCTTTTCTCTGATGTACCCTGGGCACCAGGGCCACCGAGCTGCCCTCCATTCTGTGTCTGGCTGGCTCCTCCAGCTGCAAGGCCTCTGGAAAGCTGCTCTTCTGTGCCTGAGTTTTCTTTTCTGCTGCCATGAGAAAGTGCTCTGACAAAAACAATGTGAAGAATCAGTGAGGTAGCTCACGGTTTGCTAAGAGAGCCTCATAACTGTTGATGCCTGGAACCCGTGGTGGAAGGAGAGAAGGGAGTCCCTCAAGTTGTCTGCTGACCTCTGCATGCACTTAAACACACACACACACTCTGATGATGATGTGATAATAATAATAAGGCTTGTTTGTTTTTCTGGCTCAGTCCCAGCATCCCATTGGTCACAATAAAGAAGTCAAAGTGGCAAGAGCTTCAAGCAGCTGGTCCCATCCCAGTTGGAAAGCAGAAAGCAACAAATGAATCACTTTCCACACATTACAGTCCCTTGCCTGGGAAACAGTCCTGCCCACTATTGAGCTAGCTCTTCTCACATCAATTAAGGGACTCAAGATAATTCTGCGCAGAGGCCCATCTCCTAAATTCTTCTCGATTCTGGAAAGTTGGCAGTCAAGAATCACCATCACATTCCATAAGCCAGATTAAGCTCACCTCTGGGAGATGCGCTCTTTGGTACATTAGGCTGAGCGCCACTGAGTTTTCTTACCATTGTTTCTGCAAAGTCCAGCTTCATATTTTATTTTCCAGTTAGCCTCATATGACATAGGAAATCTTGATTATGACAAACTATTCACAACTCAGTTATATATAACCCAAGGATCATATATATATATATATATATATATATATATATATATATATATATATATATATGAGAACAAAGAGAGCTAGAAGTAATTCTAGCTCTCTTCGTTCTCATAACACCAATAAGCAGCTGCAATGGTTCTTGGTTAACTCTCTGTCCGCAGAATGGCCTGGGGTCCCTTTCCTGAGGTAGGTGAGGGCTTTCCTGCCATCCTTACATTTAACCTAATTTGTTATAAAAGCCAGAATACATGAAGAGACAGTAGCGCCTGTTTAGTTTTGCTTCTGTTGCTGTGATAAAGATTATGATCAGAGGCAACCCGAGGATGAGAGGATCCACGTTGCCTTACAGTTCTGGATAGTGGTTTATCACTAGGGAAAGTAAGGGCAAGAACCTGGAGGCACGACCTAAAGCAGAGGCCATGGAGGAATGCTGCTTCCTGGCTTGCTGCTCCTGACTCGCTCAGGTCTCAGGATCTCCTGCCCAGGGGTGGCACTGCCCCCAGTTACCCCGGCTCTCCCACATCTACCATTAATGGAGAAAATGCTCCACTGACTTGTCTACAGGTCTACAGGCCAGTCTGATGGAGGCATTGAGTCTGTTTGATAAAGCTGATCGTACTGCATTCTGTTGTCTGTAATTCAGAGTCCTGAGAGAGACCTCTGAGTTGATAAAACCCTGGAGTCAGTGCATCCCACTCCCACTGTACCTGGTCTTTTTCTACACAGAGCCACTTTGGAGCGCTGACCATTGCCCTTGAGAGCCTGACCCTAGTACATTCTGGGCTTTTTGTCCATCTTTGCAGGTTTGAAGTCCCTGTGCATTGTTGGTATAATGTTCTTTTGGAATGTAATTTACCCTGGTTCATTTAAATGATGATTTCTCTACCCCATTGTCTGGTTTCAATCCAGACATTGTTTTATGATGCTTATTCTAGTCATCACCTGTCTCATGTAAACATGCCACCCTTTGTTCTCTATATTGTCAATTAAACAACCAGCCCAAATGCTGAGCAATGGAGAGGATAGGGTGGGACATCCTGGTCCAGAAGGAAGAGGAGGAAGCAAAGGGAGGAGAGTGGAGAATCTGCAGGAGAGGTCTTGGAACCATGTGGAGAGATGGACTGGACCTAAGATATGACTAAAAGCAAGTATAATGGGTGAAATCTGAATGGTAGGAAATTATGTGGGCTTGGAGGCTTAGGATGGAGTAAGTATTGCCTAGCATTGTGCTCTAGGTTAATTAAATAAATCCTAGTCTCTGTGTGGTGATTTGGGTATACAGCTGATTTAGGACTAACCACTGCTTAACTAAAAGATAAATCAATACTAAACACTAACTACCCACAACAGTGCAGCCTGCAGCCTTTACCACTCGTGTGGTAAAGTCACACTGTGTGGTGACTTTCCACACACAGGTATCTTCTGAAGATTCTTCCACACATTGTCCTGGAGCTGTAATGCTTCTCAGAGCTGTAAAGGCTCTCCACGAGCCTCTGGCTGCTACTGTGAGTTCATGGCAAATTGTTTAAAGCTGTTAACCCCAAACTGAGGGCAAAGTAGCTCCTTTTTGTATTCATTGTCTGACCAAGGTAGTTCTTGGAGGACGGTGAGGCAAGAACCCGGCTGGAGATGCCTCCACTCACTGCTTCATAATGACAGCACTGATTTGAAAACAAGTCCTAAAGTCAGTTAATGCTGATCCACTGAACATCTCTGAATTAGGAGCAGGAGGTACAGCTAGAGGAGGACATATAAGGACTCTCATCTGCCGTACATTGTCCTTGCGGTGACAGTTGGAGAAGAGGTAGGAAACCAATAGAAAGATCACTGGGAGGATGGTAAGTGCTGTTCTGAGGTTAAAAGCAAGGCACTGTCATGGAGGTAGAGCACTTGCTGAAGCCTTGACAGGATGGTGATGTCACGTGCAGAGGGGAGAGGGGAGGGGCACATTTAGGAAATACAGGGTTGGCCACATCTCTCCTGAAAAGGCAACTGTTAGTGGCACATTTAGTTAGTCTGGCATTCTAGGAAAATGTCAAGGCTGGAGATGTGAATTCATGAGTCCTTGGACTGTGAGTAACACTGAATCCGAGTCGAGATACAGAACAACATCGAAAGAGCAAAGGAAAAGAAGCAGCTGGAAGACAGGTGTCTGGCAAGGGGGTTAGGATCGAGGAACCCAAGAGACAACTAGTGCTGCTGACGTGAGATCAGTCAAGTAGCTGTGACAGCATGGAGAGCTGTGCAGAGCTTTCCAGAAAGGGTCAAGGAGAGACTGTGACATGAGGGGCAAAGACACATCTGAGGAAAAGAGTCACTAGGCCCTTGTCCAAGGTAGTGTTAGTGGTAAGCAGCAGCTGGGAGGAGACTGTCTTCCATGGAATTGCCTACAAATTAGGTAGGGAGCTCCAGAGCATCATCTCTGGATGTCACTGATACTTGGGGGAGCCTATTCGGGTGATCCAGCTGCTCCTCCATGGTCCTGTAAAGAACCCCAATAATGCATTGCTTTACCAAGCTAGACTTGGGTGGAATAATTTCTTTGGTCTTCAGTTGGTGCCCCATTTGGGACAAATAGATGCTTGTTCATGTTTCCCAGGGAAAACCGCAAAATACAGGTTGAAAACTAGACACAAAGTAGCAAATCACCTGAGGTCTACTATAGTAGGTGGCAGCTTTGTGGCTTGAACACAGTCTTGTGTGATTCCAGTGTCATTAAACTGTGGTCAAAATATCATTCCTTCCCGAATAGCTAGTCTAGTCAAACTTTCTGTGAATAAAACTTATAGGTGGAGGATGTAGCTGAGTGGTACTCAGCACTGAAAAACAAACAAAAGGCCACCTTATATGATTGACCAGAACATTTATTTGGAAATTATATGGCAGAATTCTAAAATGGCATAAACTCTGAAGAAACAGAACTAACCAGTAAGACTTGCCTCTTGCCATCTCTGAGAGGAACAAATTACACAGCTCCATTTCAACTGACTCCCGTAAGAGTAAGTGTAGAAGGAAGGAGGTCGTAGCTTCAGACGTTGTGTTGAGAAATAAGGGATCTTCCCACGTGATAGCTAATCCAGTCAAAATAAGTGGCCACTCTGGTGTAAACACCCGGGAACTCTGGTTGTCCACAGTTTTCACCCCAGCTCACAACACCCCAAACATAAGTCACGTTGTTTACATCCTTGCAGACCAGGGGCCCACCAGAGTCTCCTTTGCAGGCATCGATGGACCCGTCGTTGGTACCTGAGAGAGAGAAATCACATTTCCTTCCATCTGTCAGGGCCACCATCCTGCTGTCCTGCCTTCTGGAAAGACTCGCATTTTTTTGAGCTTTCCTGATAGGGAAGCCCATGGGTCCCTATGGGGACTGCGATGCAGCATGGGAAATCATTTTTAACCTTCTGTTTGTGCCTAGCACAGTCTTCCCGCTCATCTTTTGTCTTCTGCACTGCTGTGTAAGGGGATGCAGATATAACATGGAAGTATCTGAAGCAGACTCGTGCAGTGCATACCCCAGGCTCAGCGCGGGGCACTTACCTGCACACAGCATTTCTTTGTCATAGTAGCGGTCCTGGTAAAACTGAGAGCAGTTGTCCATTAGCTTAACTTCACCCCACCTAAGTGAGTAGACCCTTTGGTTATCTATACAAAGTGAGAAAGCAGACATTTAGAAGCCACAAGTGAGAAACCTAAATAAAGATTGTCATTACTTAGTCAACCATGAAGAAGATAAATGAACCTACATTACTATTACATGTATTAATCATTGACACTAGTGTTAATATGTTAGATATTAACACTTCCTTGGCACATTTAAATCATAGTCTCTTCATATCCTTAGTCTCTAGAATTATCTTTCTAAATTTGAATGAACAGTTAAGGAAAGTAATTGGACATGTGGACTGAAGTCACAGCCATTTAGTAAAGAGCTGACCCTCGTGATGCCTGAGCTGTAACTCTCTCCTGTTGCTGGGTTCAGTAGGGGAATGGCATAGGAGGCGGGCCTTCTCACATGTATATTTTTGGTGTCTTTTTACAGCTCCTAATTTCCTTGATGTTACTATTGAAAAACAGCCTAAAAGAAGCCAGAAAACACACATGAAGTTGTCAACATGCACATGTTTTTGTGTGTGAAGAAGTCCCTATTTAAGTGATCTGAGCTGATGGGCAAGGAGATAGGACTCTCTTCACATTGAAGTCAAAGTTTGGGGAAGGAGAAGGGCCGGGTGCTCCTGACTGACAGACCATGGAAAATGAGAGAAGTGTAAGCGTATTCAGAGGTGGGTGGGGCAAGGAGCGAGGCTTCATCCCAGGTTCCCCTCTTTTCAGCTCACAGCAAATTTATGATGCAGTTTTCCATTCAATGCCTGCTTGCTCACTGTGCAAAGTTCCGAAAGCTCAGGGGCTAGGCCTGCCTCATTGCTCAGCAATATCCAGAATCTCCTTGCACAAAATGGTTGCTTAACAAATACTTAATGTAATTAGTGACTGCATAAAATCACAGTCATGTAATTGCATACCTTACAGGTCCAAATCACTCTCCCTGCCTACATCTCAGCACTGTGCTGAGCAACACGGTATATGATCTCTCTACACCTACTCTCACAGGAGGTCCATTCGAAATAAGAATGTTTAATTAGTCCTTCTCTAGGTCAAAAATAAAGCAAATCTAATTGGTCTCAAGGATGGTCTTGAACCCCTTGATCCTTCTGCTTCTGGGATTATAGATGTGTACCATCAGAGAACACATTTGGTTTCTTGTTTTTGGTCCTGGGGATGAAACCCAGGAACCTGCACATGCTGGACAAGCACTGTCTCATTTAAGCTATATCTCCAGTTCTCTGTGGTCCTCCCACAATGAGAGTCTGAGCAGCGATGGAGGTCATGAGCCCAGGCAGGCAAGCCCTTCCTGGATGGGCGCCCACTTTTCTGTACAGGCTGTTTCTCTGAGTACTACAGTGATCCCATGCATGTCTACTCCTATTTCCAACCCCAGAGGCAAAGCACATACCTTTCTCTCGACCCCATCCAGAGATGATGCACCTGTCGTTCGGTTGGAATAGATATGGAGACCATGGGACACATGCAGGGACAGAATTAGGGAGCTCACACTCTTTCTTGCCCGGAAGCTTTTTCATTTCAATCAGAGCTATGTCGTTTTGGTAGGTGGTTCCACTGTAGTTCTCATGAACAATAACTCTGCTCACTCTCTGAACTGCCAACTCCAAGTTTGGTTTCAGCCAGTCTAATAATGCAGTCCATACTTGGTAGTTGCGGTATCTATTGGGTCTGTAAGAGAAAGGAAATGTGTATCAAGGAAATGATATGGAGGTTGATGCTTCCTTCCTTATAGTCTTTCCGTTAAAGGATGACTTTCAGTTTCTGAATTTTTATATTGTTGGTGAGATGAAGCTGTAAAATTAAATTTATTTAGGGTAGGATTAGCTGAGTGGTAAATGGAGAGAGTGAGTCCCCAGCTGTTCCTATAATCTCATTTTCTAACCTTTCCAAATAATGAAGTATTTGTCACAAAAGGGATCATCCATAGGCAAAATACTTGAATATTTAAAATATCTTTTTAAATTATATCCTCAGTATCTTATTGAAAATTATCTGCAATCTTGTTTTCTCATCAAATAGCATAAACTGAACAAAATTTATCTTTCCTTAACATTTGGCTCAGACGGTCATATTACAGTTCAACAGCAATTCCTAGGAGATAATATGTTTGGATGTTTTTATTTATACTTAAGTATCCCAAGAATGCTGTCATCCTGTTGATTTGTTGTGTTATAGGCTCAGGGATCATAAATGTTCCTTGGAGGTTAACCCTGTTCATATGGCTTAGTGGACACAGATGTAGCATTTACCAGCTACAGACAAGGTGTTGTACCAGTCACTGGGGTGAATTAGCAAAACCAGAAAGCATTGAGAAATCACGTATCACTAAATGGGTGATCACAACGACGACGACGACGACGACGACGAGATATAGTCTATGAGAAGGGAGAGGCGTGATCAGGAGAAAGGCTTTTTAAAACTTATCAGGAAGGCTTTGATTGAAAGCACTGGGGGAAGATTCCATAGAAAATTAAGGGTTGAGTTGAGATCTGAGTGAAGAGCAACCTTAACTAGGTAAGGGAGTCAAGGAAGCTCATGTCAGGCAGGGGAAGAATAAGGATATCCGAGGGTCTCTTTGCAGAGGAAGCAATTGCTTTTGAGTATCTGAAGAAGCCCAGAGTTAGTGGATCAACCGTCAGGCAGGAGGTGACGGTGTGGGATGGGATGAGACTGGTGAAGGGAAGGAAGGCCAACTCATGTAAGGCCTTCCACGATATATGTGTGTTGACATTTTTGTTTTGATGCTGTCTGAAGAGACTGCGAAACTCTCAAATTGCACCTAGCTGCACCAGAGGACAGACAGATAGGGCAGTGGAAAGATGGAGTGCATGTAGCTAAGGCAATTGGACAAGTCCTGTAATCCAGATGACAAGCAGAAGCAGGATGATAACAAAGGAGATAAGGCTCGAGCAGCATTTAAAGGTTAAGAATGAAAGAGGAATTAATTAGCGAATTAATTCTTGAGAAGAATTAAACATTAAGGGTGCCTGTGCTGCAGGGAGGTTGAGAGAGTGGAACAGGATGGTTCTCAGATTTCTACCTGTGATAACCACCTAAATCGTGTTTGTTAAGACAGGAAACCGTATTTAAGAGAACTGGAATATGAAGTAGGCCTTGGACATTTGGAATTCAATATTCTCTCTCAGTGTGTGTGTGTGTGTGTGTGTGTGTGTGTGTGTTCGTGTGTGTTTATGTGTATGAGGGGGAAATATGTTGCAGGCGCACAGACATGTGTGTGCATGTGAAGACCAGAGATAAATCTTGGGGATTGTTCCTCAGGCACTGCCCACCTTGTTTTTGTTGCAAGATCTGTCATTGGTCTGGAACTTACCAAGTAGGCCAGGCTGGCTGGCCAGCAAGCCCCAAGGAGCTCCCTCCCCAGTGGCTGGCATTCCAAACACATGCCACCACACCGAGCCTAAAAAAATAACTGTGGTGTCTGTTCTGCTGCTCAGATTCAGCTCTTCATGCTCGTATAGCAAGTGCCGACTGAACCGTCTCTCTATCTCCCAATGTCATTTTATGTAGCCGGGAACTACAGATGGATATTGACTCTAGGCCAGTGGTTGGAGGAAAGTCTCTACTGCGGTTCCTTCTCAGTCACCGGAGAGTGGGCTGTTAGAGCCACAGAGAACTTTCAGAAGAATGAGTAAGAGGAAGCCAGGTGAACACTGAAGCACTCCAACTCTTCAGAGGTGCTGTGAGGCAAGCACAGAGACAACCTAGAAGGACAGAAGAGGAGGTACAGCCGGGGGTGGGGGCGGGGGATAAACCAGGGAGATGCTGAGCTGCAGAAACTAAGAGAGAAACATCTTCAAGAAGGAAGAAGAAGAGGGCCTTGCTGTTCCCATCCACGGAGGTTTTCCCAGGTGCCACTGAACACACAATTCATCATTCAGTGTAAACGCCACCTCTCACAAAGTTAGGCCACCGGAAAATTAGTTAAGGAGGCATTTGTCCTAATTTTAATCAAATGCTAATGATGTCCTGGCTCTACCTAACTGGTTGTATAGCTTCGGCTAAGTTGTTTATTTAGCTTCTCGGTTTGGTATACTTATCTGCAGAGTGGGAGGAGTCCTGGTAAGCCCCTAAAATTGTTGAGAAGGCCAAAGAAGGCAACATGTGAAGGTGTCTGACCTAGGAAGTGCTCGATAAACAGCGCGTTCACTCTGAAATCCAAACTGAGGCCAGAAGCTTTTTGCAAATTGCCTTTGATATGTCAGTGGACCAAAACCTTTGGAGGATTGCAATCCCATCACTATGCTGGGCTGAATTTTATCTGATGCATTGTGGGTGTCCTGATCCCCTGAATTTGGAGATGGTGCTTTTAATCAGGCAATTAAGGTTAAATGGGGTCACAAGGGTTGGGTTTTAATCCAGTGAGGCAGGGGTCTTCATGGGGATAAAGAGAATCTTAGAGCAGCATGTGCACAGAAGAAACTATTGAAGGGCACAGTGAGAAGGGAGTACACACAAGCCCAAAGGGACTCCAGGAAGAACCAGTGCTCCAGTTGAGCTTGGCCATCTATGTTATTTGTTGGCAAAGTAATACAGCCTCGTGTAATGCTCTTTGATGAACATGTGTCAGACTTGTATTTTTCTTTTGTCACAATCCAAAGCTGAGGCCATATTATGCCTAACCTGTTTCTCTGACCTGAGAATTTCAAAACCCTGTCAGAGGGGTACACAGTATGATTGGTCTTCAGCACATGAGTTTCTTCTGTCCACTGGCTCTTCCCACCCCACCCTTACCCCATGACCCCAACAGTGTTTCTCTGTGTAGCCTTGGCTGTCTTGGACTCACTTTGTAGACCAGGTTGGCCTCAAACTCACAACTCACAGCAATCTGCCTGCCGCTGAGTGCTGGGATTACAGCTGTGTGCCACCATGCTCGGCTTGTCCACCGGCTCTTTTATGATTCAAAGTCTGTCAGGAACAGACCCCTAGACCCCCACACCCCTACACTTCAGCGATCTTCCCAATAGCAACCCGCATAGTACCCCTACCTGGTACAATTCCTTCCCTTCAAAGCAGCTTTCATCATGGGCACATGTAAATCATTTATCTATATTCAAAGCACGAGCCAGCCAATGCTGGATCAGTTTATCAGATAATTAACACTGAGCATTGGACATTTCCTTTATTGCTTCGAACACACTTTAAATGCATTTAAGGGTATGTGGATTTGAAAAAGTGACCTGTGGTTGTGGAGTAAAACTAGCTCTTTAAATGTCCTTGTATGGAAAGAGCAGAGGGAATGCCAGGTTAGCATTACCCCTTCATGAATGCTCAGTCATAAACTCTTCCAGACAGCTTTGTCCTAGCACGGTGCAAATGAGCCAAATAAAGTCATATGGCATTTAAGATCTGCCCTCACTGCAGCTTAGCACCTGGTCTGTGGAGAACAAAGTCGGTTCTGAGGGACTAGTTCCTGCAGTCCAGGTCATAAAGGCATTTAAGAGATAACAGAGCAGAAATTAATTTCTCATACAGGCTTTTATCTGTCATCTACCATCATCTCTATTATTTATTTCTCATGTTTTAAGAACGCTAAAATACACTGAGGACATTTTTACCTGACACAATGTGCAGCAGTCAGAACCCAACAGCCACCGATATAAATTCCCCCACAGGTGATTTTTTCGCCATCCCTAATTGCCACCTGCCATGGGTGGTCGCCCTGTAAAAGACATTTGTGTGGTTACTGGATGGTGTCACACAAGGTGACCCGAGGACATTTCCACATAAGGACCTGGTCTCCTGTGAGTACATTGTCCCCTCACTTTTTTCTGACTTAGGCTGGTCCTGGGAGGTACTGGGATTTTGGTGCAGGCTTACCACCTCTGCTGGCTTTCCTCCAATCACTCTTTTCCTTCGAGTGTGTGTGTTTCTTTTGACACCACAGGATAGTTTAGGTAATAGGGACTTCATCCGTTTTCTTTCTTTAAGAAAGGAAGAGGGTGTATCATTATTTCCCCCAAACCACTATCTTGTGGATAGAAACTTCTTGGTTCTATCTATTTATATCCATCCATCCATCCATCCATCCATCCATCCATCCATCCATCCGTCTGTCTATAAGTGCATGCGCATGTCTATTTGAAACCAGAGGTTAACCATCAGACACCTTCCTCAATCACTTCCCATCTCATTTTTTGAGAGTCTCTCACTAAACCTGGGATCAACTAATTGGCTAGGTTGGCTGGCCAATGTGCTCCAATGATCTGTACCTCTCTTTCTTCAGCCCAGCACTGGCATCACAGACACGTACCACCACAGGGCTCCTTACATGGGTGCTGGGATCTAAACTCAGGTCCTGCTACTTGTGAATAGATTATATATGTAACACATGCACACACATTATATAGTGTGTGACAAAGCAGCCCCATTCATCAGTAATTGTTTTGGGGGTTAAACAGTGCTGTTTACCTTAACAAGAAATTCTGATGCAAGATTAAAATTGACTTGATTTTCTGAAGTTCTGACTGAAAGTAGACTTGGGGTGGAAAGCTGGCCGAGAAGTTATACATTTACCAGCCTCTGATAGTTGAAAGATGCCACATGACCAGGCATTACTACAACGAGAACTCAGGGTGAGGGATGTGCCACATTTTGAACTCATCAGAATAAGCTTATGATATAGAGCAATGCATTTTTCATTGTGGTTTTTACTTTCTAGGAGAAAATCTTTTTTTCAAAAAATATCAATGTGATAGCAAGTACTTCGTGTTTGGGCCCACAGTAAATGTTCCATATATTTTGTCTCATATATATTTATATAATTAATAACTTGTCACCATGTATATTAATCCTGAGAGATCATATGTCAGGGACTCTGGATGATTGGATCAGCAGGCCTCCTAGGGGAGCATGTACGTGTGATGTATTTGTCAACAAGAAACCATGCTAGAGCAAGACTCAAAGGGTGAAGCTGCAAGGGAATGCATCAGAAAGGAAGAAAATGGGACTGGAAGGATTTTTTTTTCATTCTCTCTCTGTATTTGCCTTGTCATGAAAAGGTCAATAAACTAGTTTCTTCCAATGAGAAAGGACACTTCATATTACTAATGATTTCTTTGGGCATATCTACAGGAGGTAGGGTCCTAAGGAAAAGAAGTTGCAAGTGAACATAAAGAAATTTACTTTGGTCTAGTCTATTCTATAAACTATGTTGAGGGAAGAGTGTGATGATCTTAAGGTTTTATTTAGACTTTTGCAGTAAGAGAACTAGCCTCATACATGGAAGTATGTGAAACCAGGATGGGTGGAATATGAAAACAAATGTTATCACTAGTACACAAAAAATAGGGTATATATGAAAAACCCTCTTGCCTAGAATCTGTAAATAGGAAGTAGAAATATTTTACTCAGTGGCTTATTTAGGAAATTGTTTACTAATTTGAAACTCTGGAAATTAGAAGTTGATATCATATTAATTTCATTTTAAAATATCCCAAAACCAACTGGTACATAATCTAAGGTGAGAGAGGTGATAAAATTAAATAGTCAATAAAAACAACGGATCAAAAGTCAGTCTTGCTACCTTCAATAAATTACTCCCTTCTCATGAATGTACATCTAACTCAGTTTGGCTCTTAATGCACAAGTGCCCAGGATACAGGGCTTCAGGATTCCCTGCTACTGTGATTTATAACACTGAGAAGACACAGATCTACTTAACTAATGTAGATTATTTCCCATTTCAGAAGATGTTTGAAATCTAGTTATTTTTGACAAAACTAAACTGACAAAGCTCTTATCTCTAAGGAAAAACTTCATGTGGAAATGTGTCACTGAGGAATCATTCATTTTAACTAACCTGGCTTTAAGAGCAACTCTCAATAATATGAGCTTGCTTTTCTTAAAAGCAATGGGGAAGGAGAAAGACAGCGTTACATTTTCTTTTACTTAAACCAATATCAAAATTAATTTCTATTTGAATTGATTATATATGCAATACATGCATGCATACTATATAGTATTGTGTATATTATACACATGATATATACATGGTTGTTACTAAGATGAAACCATGAACTACCAGTAAAAAAAAAAAAATGTTAACTCACCTATGCTCATATCAGGAGTCAAAATTTCTATTTCTTCAGTTTCATTTCCTGTGATAAACAACAGAAAATCCAAGTGGTTAATGTCAGGTCTCTTAGAGAAAATTCAATCATTAAAGTGACTTAACTGATAATTTTGAATATTGCTTTCTTTTTATAGACAAACACCCGAAGCATGTCGTCTGGTTTCCTCCCTATAGCTGAGCATCTGTAAAGATGCAGATGAACCCTGTAGGAATCCCTGCTGGAGATGGGTGGCAGGGAAGAAAGAGAACTTCTCCCTCTACTCTCTTTACGTCCAGCTCTTTACATGGTGAAGAGAATAGCCAAGGAGCCCATACAGGCATCAAAAAGGCTGCCCTACATGGCACATCATGAGGTACACAGAGATATCTTAATGGTTTTCATGTAGGATTGGCTAGATAGCAGTGAGATCTGGGGTGCAAAACTCAAAGAAAAGGGGTGCCCCGCTTCCTTAGACTGTTGCTTACACTTATATGGACCTATCCACCCTGCCATCCCAAGACACCTGGTCAGACAGCATCACACCCCCTGTCGCCTTCAGGTCCACAGGCATATCCCTGCCAACATGCAGCTCTGTTTAGGATGAGGATAAAGCTGGGGACAGAGCAGGCCAGTCTAACAACTCAACTTTGACACAGCGGTCTTAGATTTTGTTCCTGGATTTCTCAAGTTCTCTTTGGAACAGGCAAATAGGGGTCTATTATATCACATACCTAAGTTGTGTCCCAGGGCACGAAGGACTCTGCTCAGAGGTATTCCCATGAGTACATATGTAAATCAGAGATGACTAAAATATTAACATTAAATGCTCAACAAAGGCAAGTAAGGGAAGTCCAGTGCAGCTCAAGTGTTCTGGGCATGAGAAGAGTGGGAAGCTTCAAAGGCACAAGCCATAGGAAAAACAATTGATGACTTTGGTGCTATAAAAATGAAGGATTTCCATGTTTTCACATTTAATGTTGCACACATGTGTGAGTATTGTGTACTTGTGGCCATAAGGACATGTGTGGAAGTCAGAGGACAACCTGAAAGGGTCAGTTCTCCTTCCACTCTTCCTGGGGATTGGACTCAAGCAGTCAGATGCGATAGCAACTGCTCTTATCCGCTTATCCAGCTTGCTGACCCAAAACTTAAGAATTTCTTTTCAATAGATTTTTATCACGGATGGAGCCAGTTGACAGACAGGTGACAGAATAAAGATATTTATGATGTTTAAAGCTGACAAAGGGTTAACATCTAGACTGTAAAGGGGACCTCTGCAAACCAGTAAGAGAGAAGACTGCAGTGAAAGATGTCTGTGTGAGCTGCTGTGAAGATGTGGAAAATGGGCGAAAGAAAAGAAAAGGCAGAAGGACAACCCACAAAAATACCAGTATAAAATACCCGTGAATCTGACCCAAGCCATTGCCTATTATCAGTGTCTAAGCTAGCAATTAATGATGCCATTACTTGGCAGTTGGCAAGCAGCACTGTGGTTGGTAGGTGAGGAGAAAGTCCAGACAGCATAGATGGATGTGAGAACTGGTACTTAAGGCTACTTGTCGATTAAGGAGTTGCTGCTTACCGCAAGAATTAAGCTCTTGCCAGGTTGATGTTTCAAAGGGATTTATACATTCTGGAGAAGATGTTTATCACAGCACAGTGGTGGGCTGATAGTTCATTGCTCAAAGATATTGAGTAAATTGAAAAAGCTGAATTTGCATTTTAGGCAGCAGCTAGAAGCAGCAGAGTATATTAACACATAGCAACATGGTCAGAGCCTTCAAATCCAAAGATAAAAAGAAACAAGATCTACAATACAGTGAAAGATATGTGATCACTAGATCACAGAGTACATTGGAGAGGAAAGCACACATGCAAAGCCACACGTACATTCAACCACACTAGAATAGTTGGCAGGGAAATGGGATTAAGAAATGGGGGTATGAGATAAGCAGGACTGGCCTAGAAAGAACCAGTCTGATCACACAAAAAGACCTGAGCAGTACCATTTTCACTGATGTCTGAAGCTAGAGAGGGAAGAAGGAGGGAGAAAAAGGAGAAGAGGAATAAGTGGGGGTGAGCAGCAGCTTCAGAGGGATTAAGATGACAAGTGAGATGGAACACAAGGTATTAACTGAGAAGTGACACTTAGGGCAAAGGTTGATTCTAAGATAGGTCACCTCCAGGATTCTTACGAAATTCTAAGGAAAACCACAAACCTGTGGCATTATGTGGGTTGGGGACTTGAGTCATTTTATATGAATGGCCAGAGGAGGTAGGGGTGAAGAGATGAGGCAGGAGGAGAATCTACTAATACTCTGAAAAATGTCATAATGATAGCTAATACATTCTATGCTAATTTTTTAAAAACATAGCTCCAAGGAGCTGTAGGATTTGGGGATACCGAGTATATGAAATAAACATCAAAATGTGAAATGTGTTATATTTTTCTCTTGTGTCGATTCCTTTAAAAGCTTGGTTTTGTGGGGAAAAAAATAAGGGAGACAAGAAATGTATTGTGCAAAGGTGCCAGGTGCAGGGAAACAGCCACCGTGGGTGGTGTCCCCGTGGGTGTGACTGACAGTTTTTCACACCAAAGAGAAGCCTCTGCCAGCTAAACAGCTGAGAAAACTGGGGTCTTGCTTGTACACGCTCACACCATACTCAGTTAAAAAAAATCACCTTTTTCTTTTTCTTTTTTTTTTTTTTTTGCAATATTCCAACATTTTAATAAAAACTTACCTCGATCTGACCGTGCAGGGCCTGAAGAACAACAGAACACAAAAGCAGAGTTTTACAACAGTGAAGAATAACTTTAACGGTGGGAAAAATAAAACCTACATCATGTTATTACACCTGTACCCCAAACTAGAATTATAAAATTTCTATTAAGAAACAGATTTACCTTTATGAACTTTAGGCCACCTGGCTTCTAAAATCAAAAGGAAACAAAACATTACTACAAAGAGATTGTTAAGTAAAACACTTGCAAATAATTAATATTCCAGAAACTGTAACAACTTAAAATTAATGGTAACAAAGGATTAAAAAAAAAAAAGAAGCCAAATATCATGCCATTTTATCTCAATGTTAATTCTAATCAGATTTTTATCTTGCATTTAAACACATAACAAGTTCACTCCAGCAAGGGAATTATTTTTTTCTTTATTTTATCTTATTAATTACACTTTATTCACTTTGTATCCCCCCATAAATCCACATCAGGAGTGGCTGCATTGTCATCTTCTGTGGCCTGGTAAGGCTGCTCCCCCCTGGGGGGGGGGGGGTTGATCAAAGAGCAGGCCAATCAGATTATGTCAGAGGCAGTCCCTCTTCCCATTACTATGTAACCCACTTGGATATTAAACTGCCATGGGCTACATCTGTGCAGGGGTTCTAGGTTATCTCCATGCCTGGTACTTAGTTGGAGTATGAGTCTCTGGGAAGTTCCCTGTGTTCAAATTTTCTGGTTCTGTTGCTCTCCTTATGGAGTTCCTGTCCTCTCCAGATCTTACTATTTCCCACTTCTTACATAAGATTCCATGCACTCTGCCCAACAGTTGGAATTATTTTAACCTTAAAAGAGATTAGTTATTTAGAAACATCTGTACACATACTCAAAAGCAAAATTACTATACAATTGTACGAAATTATAACTATTTTTAACTTACACTAACAAACAGGGTATTCTGGTTTTTTTCATCTTGACACAAACCTGGACTATTTGGGAGGAGAGACTCTTGAAAGAGAAAATGTCTCCCCAGGAGATTGGCCTGTAGGCAAGTTTGTGGCCATTTTCTTGATTAATGGTTGATGTGGGAGGTAGGAGGGCCCAGCCCACTGCAGGCAGGGCCACCCCTGGGCAGGTGGTCCTGGGTTGTAAGAAAACAGGCTGAGCAAGCCATAAAGAGCAAGCCACGTGAAACAAGCCACTAAATAGCATTCTTCCAGGGCTTCTGCTTGAGTTTCCTCAGTGATGAAGTGTGTCCTGAGAGTAGGATGGAATAAACCTTTTCTTTCTCAAGTTGTTTTTGGTCATGGTGTTTTAGCACAGCGACAGAAACCCAAGTATGACGAAGAACTTCTAAGAGGTAAATGCGATTGAGAGATGATACGAGCTTGCTTTGATTCAGTGATTTTGATCTGGCCACTTAATAGTCAGTGTGGTGGTTTGAATAGGTCTGGCCCCCATGGACTCATATGTGTGAATGCTTGGCTCATGGGGAGTGGGCCTATTAGGAGGTGTGGCCTTGTTGAGTCCTCTTCATAGCAACAGAACATTGACTGAGACAGTAGGCACACAATCCACAGTGCACGTATAGAGAGGACAACCTGTGCGTTGAACTCAGGTCATTAGGCTTAGTAGCTGATACTTTTACCCACTGCTCCATCTCACTGACCTCTCGTAGCACTTTTGTTTTCACTCAATGTTCACTTATTTCTCTTATTTGTTGTTTTTCTTCCTCTGCTGAGACTTAAAAATCTACAAAGCGCAGGTATCTTTATTTATCTTTGAGACAAAGTTTTGCTGTGTAGCCCCTGCTTTTTAAGAGCTTGCTAAGCAGGCCACACTGACCTCACATTTACAGCCATCCTCCTGCCTCTGTTTGCTGACTGCTGATATTTCATGCCAGCTTGGGTAGGGCTTTTGAAATGGTATCACCATCATGACTCTGTTATCTAGAACAGGGCCAGGGGTGTAGAACAATAAAGGCTCACTTAGGAAGGAAAGAATGCAATACTTATATTTTCCCTTCAGAGCCTCATGGCTGAAAACAAAAAGTCAGTGTGGAAAAGAATAGGTACATAATAACTTTTTTTTTTTTAACCATTTGGAGTCATCCATTGAGACTTGGTAAATAACAGGAATAACAAGGTATTACACGTTATTAAACATTTCTACCATTAATTGTATCACATGAAAATGAAACAGTGAGAGTTTATTCCCGTATAATTTTAGTTCATACATACAGAAACTGATAAAATGAGCAATCAACATTTTATAGCCTTTTGCTGACATAATGGATATAGATAGCAATTTCAGGTCTGCTAAGACTATAGGTGAATGATTGAGATGGAGCTTTTCAATGCAGACCTTAAACTTACCAGGGGACAATCTTAACATCGGTAGAAGTGAAATGGTGAAGCAACCAGACTTCACTCTACCACCTCATCAAAAATTCATGCCACGCATCTAACCAAGTCTATGAATCTAGAATAAGGATCACTGCCCATGGGTGTAGCAGCCTTGCCAGGCCACAGAGGAAGAGGATGCAAGCAGTCCTGATGATGGTAAGGGAGGAGGTCTCCCACTTTCTGAGGACTAGGGGAGGGAACAAGAGGGACGGAGGGTGGGACAGAGATGAAGGAGTGGGCTGAATTGGGGTAAAAAGTGAATAAATTATAAAAAAATAAATTACAAAAACAAAGTTAATGATCAATTGTAACATCCATGTTCCTGGGTATCTTGGTTTGAACATGTTAACTTAAAAGATGCCTTTTTTTGTTGTTGTTAGGAAAATTTGAACATGGCTGTTATTAAATGATGCAAGAGAGTGTTACTATTTTCAGGACCACTTATGAGAGAGAAGCTTAAGATATAGTGTTCTTATATGGAGAGGTATATAAATTAAGTGACATGGTATCTGAAGCTTTTTAAATACCGCAACAAACAAACAAACTGGAAGACAGAAAGAGCATGACTAGCAAACATGCTGTCACAGTTGGAAGATGGTTCCCAGGAGATCATGCTAATGTCATATCTTTTTATATATGATAATGTGTGCTGTGATAACAAGTAGGTATAAAGAGAGGGTCACCCAACCGTTATTCAAGTGCCTGCTCACCAACAGTACCACTCAGAGCTCTTACCTATGACCACTTAAGGTTGTGATTTACCTAAGGAGAGGTCTCACACTTCAGGGTCCAGTATAAAATAGAATGGCCACAGAATTTTGGATTACCTTCACAACCACTCTCATCTTCTCCTGTAATGCAGTCCACCTCACCATTGCACTTATACTGGTTTGGAATGCACACTCCAGACTTACATAAGAAAGCTTTACCTCGGCAACCTGTATGAACACAAGTACAACTTATTTCCACTCTTCAGTGTTGAGAGAGGTGGGGGCTGAGGCAGCAGCTCCATGCCTGTATAGCTTGTGAGAGGCCCTGGGCTCAGTCCTCAACACACACATATACACGCATGCGCGCACACACACACACACACCACATGCTTACACACATATGAAATGAGACCTTGTGTTTAGTAATGGAGCTGTTTTGACGTTTTCAGTCATAATGATGAACGTAGAGGATTGGAAAGGTGGGTTTATCCCTACCTTTGCAACACAGCTCGTCACTTTGATCTCCACAATCATTGACGCCATTGCAGGCTTTCTCCTGAGCAATGTGCTTCCCGTTCACACACTTGAAGGACCGATTTATTGCAGGATCTGTGAAGTAGCGATTATCTTCGTGAAATTTATGGATGGGCTCATGGTATAACATCCTTAACATATTATGGGATACAGGGGTAACTAAGATAAAATATGACTTTAAGAAATGATATAATTGGTGTGGCCACTATGGAAATCAGTGTGCAGGTTTCTTAAAAAAAAAAAGAAAAGATAAAAGTAGAATGTGTATGTGACTCTGACAGATAATCAAAACAACTCTATACCTTATGACAAAGATACTCTCAAATCCGTGTTCTTTTCTTCTGTATTCACAAAAGTTAGGAAATGGGCTTAGCTGCCCGCCAGCTGATGAAGGGGTGATGTGGTACACATACACAACGGAATTTTATTCTATTGTAAAAAAAAAAAATGTGCAGCTAAATGAATGGACCTGGAAGTTCTTATACTAAATGAGATCATCTAGGCCCAGAATGACAAATGCTGTATCTTCTCTCTCAAATGTGGATTTTAGCTTTGAATTTCTAGATTTCGGTGTATAGATTGGCATGTCAGTCAGTGGAGGCCAGGTAGTAAAAAAGGAGCCAGGGGCTGGGTGAAGGCAATAAGAGGGAAAGATAGTGAAAAGTATGAGATATGAAAGCGAGGAGGGCATGCTAGGCAACCAAAAGGTTTAAACAGGCATCGGGGTAGGAAGATAGGGGGGCATGAGGATGAGGTATGGATTGAAAAATCAAAGGATTGAGAAAAAGCCAAAAGAAAGCTGCTTTATAAGCTAATTAAAAAAAACCAATGATTTAAAAAAGAAGTTCGAATAAAGAGATCCTACATCTGCCACTCCCAGACTTATACATTTTTTTTAATGAAAACCCCCACACTAGGTATGGGGCACCTCCCTGCAAGTTTTTAGTCAGAGGGAGTCCCCAGGAACTCCCGAAACAGTAACGGTTACTGCCATTATTCTTGGCTGCCCCATCATAACTAGATTGTAAGACCCTTTTGCTGAAGACACCACATCCTTTGTCTGCCAGACACATAGAAATCAAGCTGGAACTAAGCTGTAAGCGTCTTCCTCGATGGCTAGCTTACGTAGTACCAGAAGGTGCTATGTATGGTGCTGGGGGAAAAAAACTATCAATGGTCTTATCTAGTGGGTGGGGCCTGCCTTCTGTAATACAAGTATTCCAGGCAAGATATGCCTACTGGTATAATAGCACCCTGACTGTTTTGAGGATGATCAACCAATTTCTCACTGGATTTGGGGCCCACTTTGTGGGAGGGATTGCGTGCCTGGTACTGTAAGCCAGGTAAATCTCTATGGCTGGATCAATCATAGGCCCTAGGGGAGAGCCTACTTATGATGATTTGAATAAGCACAGCCCTCACAGGCTCCTATATTTGAATGATTGGTCACCAGGGAATAGAACTGTTTGAAAGGATTAGAAGGATTAGGTGTGATCTTGTTGGAGGAAGTATGTCCCTGGGAGTAGGCTTTAAGGTTTCAAAAGCTCAGGATAGGCCCAGTGTCTCTCCCTGTCTCTTTGTCTCTGTCTCTGTCTGTCTGTCCGTGTCTCTGTCTCTCTGCCTGCAGATTAGGATACTGCTCTCAGCACTCTACCTGCATACCGCCATGTTCCCTGTCATAACAATAGTAGACTACACCTCTGAACAAGCCAATGCTTTCTTTTTATAAGAGTTACCTTGGTCATGGTGTCACTTCACAGCAATAAAGCCAGGGACTACAACGTTATGACTGTTTTTGCTAAATGATCATATTGTCCAACTGCCTTCAAAATATTTGTGTTTATATCTACAGACCAGTGTGACTCTGCCTTGGGACAGAGAAGCTTCTTCTTGCCATGGATGAAGGTTGGTGCATACATTTATGTCTGGTCAGTGTGCTGAGAACAAAAATGACTACTAAGTGCTCAGCCATAAATAGGACATGTCTGTATCACCTCATCTAAGGCCCAGGGACCATTGCAGAAGAGGTGTTTCATCAGGGTCAATGGCAGTGTCCATAAGGCCCTGCTCCCTTCTGAGGAACTACTCTCTCTCTCTCTTTCTCTCTCTGATTCTTTTTCTTTTTCTTCCTTATTAATTTTTTTTTTGATACAGGATCTCTCTGTATAGGCTGTCTTGGACTTACTTTGTAGACCAGGCTGGCCTCGAACTCACAGAGATCCGCCTGCCTCTGCCTCCCTGAGTGCTGGGATTATAGGCATGCACCACTGTGCTTGGCTGTGTGTGATTTTCCTAAGTGGTGTAGGCACTGGTGTGTTGCTCATGTTCCAAAAATAGCTCCTAACCACTAGGGGTGAAGGTACAGCTGGGTGTGGTGGTAGGTGCATGTCATTAACCCCAGCACTTGGGAGGCAGATCTTTGCGTTTTCAAGACCAGCCTGGTCTACAAAGGGAGTTCCAGAACAGCCAGGGATGCATAGTAAGACCCTATCTAGAAAAACAAAAAAGTAATGAAAGCAAAAGGGAAATTTTTTGGCAAGAAGAGAGAGCTCACAAGGAAGCAGGAAATAAGACAGAGTATTAGGGGGTTATATATTGTAGAGGTGTATGATTATTAAAACTAAAAATCAACACAAGTAAATAATCTAAAAAATAAAACAAATCATTAAATATATTGGTTGCTAGGACAGAACTCAGGAGCCCCGAGCATCGCCTGACATTAGGAATCTACTGTTCACCCTTTATTGTTTTGCTTTAGCGGTAACCCAGCTTCCAGTCTTTGGACTCAATGGGCCAGACCTTTATAGGTCCTAGTACTTTTGATTTTTTTTTTTTTTAGCACTGGAAAGGGTATGATTCTGTTCATTGATCTCATACATATGCCAAAATATTTCTAAGTTAGGATAGAGGAACATCTGGCTGTGGTTTTGGGAAAAACTGAGGCAACAAAATGATCACTTAAGCATATATATATATTAATGTATATAGGATTTAATGCTCAAAAGAGGTGCCAAGGTGTCTATGTTTAATCAACTTATTTGCAATGGTTATTTGAGGCTTCGTATTCAAGGAAGCAAAGAGGAGGCAGATAATTTTGCTTCCACACAGGAACGTGAACAGCAGGTTTTGAGTGGCAAAATCAAAACAATGGAGGTCACAAATATAAGTTCTAAACCCCAAACCTTGGTAGCGGTGTCACTGTCTCCTTAACTGACCATTGCTCATCCATCATTGCTTCTTTACTATAGGCCTCTATGAAAGAGTGATCTTGACGGCAGCACTCTATACCAACCTGTATCGTGTGTGTAACACATGACATCCGCTAAATTCTGGGAACCGTTAGTTCTCTTCTTGGTAAAGGTACACTCTGCCAAGCTGGTCTCATCACCCCGGCAACGTACATTCAGGCATTCTGTGGCATTTATTTGGAGGTTTATGGGTAGAGTTAACCTCCTTCGTATGTGAACAGCACCCCTGCGAAAGGAAGGAGTGAAATCTGGTGGAGGAACAATTCAACTTTGCATTTATAACTTCATCGCAGGGAGGAGGCTCTACAGAAAACCCCTCCCCAAAATGATCTGCAGACTGTAGAAGGCACTAACATTCTCCTTCTTGTTGTCTTAAAACCTTCACTTGAGCCATAATGTCTCTTTGGGTTTTGTGAAGATTAACTAAAATAATCAGTTTCAACCAGCCAGTCAGCAAACATTCGGCAAATATTGCTTTCCCGATTTTATTAAGAAGAACGTCTCCTTTTCATTGGATGGTTCCTCCTCTTCAGAGAAGGTCATTCCTGACTTACTATGTTTTTTTTTCCTCCCTTACAAAAGACAGTGAGTTGCCTTGGTCAGAGGATTCTGGAAGTATGTGTCAGTAAATGTCAGCACAGATGTTTTCCATCTTTTCTTCTGAGGGGTCTGCACACCTGCCCCTGTTGTGGAAGCCTTACCTGGTTGATCTCATTATTGCTTAAGACTTGGAAGATTAACTTGTTTAAGCTATAAGTTTCATTTGGCCTTTGCAATAAACCGCACCTTTGATTGAGCCTTGATAGTATGAAGGAGGCATCTCTTTGGACATTAATTTTGGCTGTCAATTTTGACATTCTCTTTAGGAAAGCACAGCGCTGGCTGTGTCTGTGAAGAGAAAGGTTTCCAGAGAGAACTAGTTCCAGAAGGCTCTGACCCAGTGAATGGTTAAATCCCTTGATGTGTTCATAATATGATGGCCTTGTTTGCAGTGGAAAAGGGGTGGAGTCTCATTAGAGGAAGTAGGTCAGTGGGAGGGTACACTTGGGGCCACATCTTGTCTCTGGCCCCTTCTGGACTGGTTGTTTCCTGTCTGCCAGGAGACACCTTTGCTACACATTTCTACCCCCATGATAATCTGCCTTACCACAGACCTAGAAACAAAGGACCTAGGTATGATAGAGGGAACTCTCTGAAACTGAGAGCCAAAATACATATTTTCCATTAAGTTTCTCATTTACATGTGTTTTGTCAATGCAGTGCAAAAAGTAACTAATATAATGCTATTTGACTTCTTAGTTTTTAAGGAATATGTGAAGAGAACTTTTTTGTTACCCAACATCCCAGAAATGATGACTCACAGTGAACTGTTATTCTAGGATATTCGATTGTTTCCTGCTTCTCTTTGGGGGAAAATGAATTAAAAAGAAAAATTGAGCAAACAACTTCTTTAATCAACAGAAAATGTGAATCAAAATGACTCTGAGAGTCCATCTCACACCGGTCAGAATGGCTAAGATCAAAATCCAAATCAACAACACATGCTGGAGAGGATGTGGAGAAAGGGGAACCCTCCTCCATTGCTGGTGGGAATATAAACTTGTACAACCACTTTGGAAATCAATCTGGCACTTCCTCAGAAAACTGGAAATAGCTTTACCTCAAGACCCAGCTATACCACTCCTGAGTATATATCCAAAAGACTCTCCACCATACAACAAGGACACTTGCTCAGCTATGTTCATAGCAGCCTTAATCACAATAGCCAGATTATGGAAACAACCTAGAAGGCCCTCAGCCAAAGAATGGATAAAGAAACTGTGGCACATTTACACAATGGAATACTACTCAGCTCCTAAAAACAAAGAAATCATGACATTTGCAGGCAAATGGATGGAAACAGAAAAGATCATCCTGAGTGAGGTAACCCAGATCTAGAGAGACACACTTATAAGTGGTGTTTAGCCCTATAGTACAGGATAAGCATACTGTGAGGCACAGACCCAAGGGAGGATCCAAGGGAGGACGGATAAATCTCACTCGGAAGGGGGGACAGAATAGACAGAGGTAGTGGCTGAAGAGAGAGAACAAGGCAGGAGAGGGGACATAGAGTTAAGAGGTGGAGATCTGACCTGGGGAGAGTGAGGGCAAGGGTAGGTTAATCTCTGTGACAAGCTGCAGACCTAAGTCAGGGTAGGCTCCTGGGAGGACATGAAGGGGACTCAAGCAAAGACACCCAGTAGCAGAGGCCATAGAGACTGAAGAGGACACCCACTAGCTTGACTAGTCTCCTAGCATAGGGAAGGGAACACCAACCCACCCACAAAAACTTCGACCCAAAATTTACCCTGCCTACAAGGTGTGCAGCGATAAAGATAGAGCAGATACAGAAGGGACTGAGGGAATGCCCAACAAAAGACTTATCCTATGGGAGTGCCAACCCCTGACACTATGAACAATGCTCTGCTAAACTTGCAGACAGGAACCTGACAGAGTTGTCCTCTGAGAGATGCTACCCAGCAGCTCCTCAAAACAGATGCTGAGACTCACATCCAAACACTGGGTGATGAAGAGGGGTCTCATAGAAAGAGAAAAGGACCTGGAGGCAACAGGAGCTCCACAAGAAAAACAACAGAGCCAACTAACCAGATGGGCTTGCTGAGACTATAAAGCCTCAACCAAAGACCATGCATGAACTGGACCTAGGCCCCCTACAAAGATACAGCAGGTGGGCAGCTTAGGCCTTATGTGGGTCCTCTAGTAAGGGTAGTGAGGACTGAATTGGACACAGACTCACTTGCCAACTTTTTTTTTTTTTTTAATCATTTTCCCCTGGCAGGACTGCCTTGTCAGACCACAGGGGAAGAGGACATACTCAGTCCTGATGTTCTTGGGTGGATGGGAAAGGGAGCTCCCCTTTTCTGAGGAAAAAAAGGAAGGAGGAGGGGGGTGGGGCAGGTAGGGGAGGAGGGATATGGCTACAACAAAGATATAAAATGAATAAAAAAGAATAAAAAAAACTGAGTAAAGACACATCAGAAATGGAAATAGAAATAAAATGCCAATTGCAATATAAGTAACAGATTAATTAGAATGAAAGGCAAAAAGAGAACAAAGGTAGTTATTTCTAGTTTCTCTGAGTCCATAATGAAGACACAGAATAGTCATACCAAAAAAAAAAAAAAAAAAAAAAAAGAAAAAAAGAAAAAAATGTCATCGGGGGCAATGCACAAAGTATTGGGTTTAATTTCCAGCACTGTGCTAACTGGTTGTGGTGGCACAAGCCTATAATCTTAGCATTTTTGGAGGTGGAAGCAGAAGGAAGAGAAGTTAAAGGCCATCTTTGGGTTCATGGTGAATTTGAGACCAGCCTGGGCTACATGAGAGCCTGCCTCTAAAACAAAGCCAAGAGGCCTCACTGCCTGAAATCATAGAAGTCTGTCCATGAACTTAGGCAATTTATGGGAAAAACAAAAGTACCAAAAAGGTTAAAGACCAAGGGTTCACTACTAGGCTGGTCATGGTGGTACATGCCTTTAATCCCAACATTCAGGGAGGCAGAGGCACGATCTCTGTGAGTTTGAAGCCAGCCTGGTCTACAAAATGAGTCTAGGACAGCCAGGGCTACACAGAGAAACAAAAAACAAAACAAAACAAAAAAAAAATTAAAAAAAGAAGTTCACTACTAGGTAAAAATGATAGGTTGAAGGCCACAACTACAACAAATCAGAAATATGCTGTGGCTCACCCAAACACTGAGAGGCCCACTCATGCACTCACCACAGCTTGGTTTCCTGCATGTCAAGCCAGTAAAACAATCCAGAATGAGCAGAGGAGGGACCCATGGGCCTGGCCAGAACTGAGGAGCTGCTGGGTAGTGGGAGCCACTGGGGAAGGGAGAGGCGTTTTTCTCTGGGGTATGGCCACTAGTGGCTTGCTCATGCTCCAGTGAACGGCTCTCTACCCATGCATGTGTTATTGGGAGGAGGGAGGTGTTCCAGAAGGTGATGCAGGATAATGTGGGTGGAAATGACCAAATGACTTGTATAAAATTCCCAAAGGATAAAATTATATATTAAAGGAAAGAAAGAAAAGATTTGAGTAAAATAGTTAACTTGCTTATTGTAGCATATAGCTATTTCTTAGACCTCTGAATATAAATATTTAAAATAAAAAAATCAAACTCCAACGAGTATTTTAAAACAATAACCATAGAGGGTCATTCTGTAACAATACCGTTAACTAGGAAATCAATAACAAGTAGTTAATTAGAAGCAAACTAATGTCTTCATTTGTGAAGCACACAAGAAACTTCAAAACTGCATCAAAAAAGACATTGTATTGGAAAATTAGGATATGTTATGAGTTAAACCATAAATAAAATATCACTTATGGAAACTTATAATAGCGTTTTCATAATCTTATAGATGAAGCATTCCCAAAGTAAGTTAAACATCCAACCTCAGGGGTTAGAAAACAAATCCAAAGGAGGGCTGGGGCTATATTGCTTCATGGGCATGAGGCTCTAGATTCAATTCCCAGGACTGTCCTCTTCAATTAAATAAAGAAACAAACAGAGGGAAATTAAGCAGGAAAAGGGACACAGATAAAGGTAACAGCAAAGATTAAGGATATAGAAATTAATAAGAGCATTTACAAGCACAAAAAAAATAAGAGTAATCAAATACATCTCTGCAAGGCCGACAAAGGGGAAAAAGGGCAGAAATAAACAATAGGAGATCAAAAGTGGACGTCGTTCTAGATGCGTGAAAACAAACCGTCGGAAGTGTATGTGAGGGTGTAAACATCTCCACGGGATTCCGTCCAGAAGCTCAGGCTGACAGGTGCTCTGTGCTCAGCGGGACATTCAGTCCCAGCAACAGTGCTGTGAGATGTAGTTCTCATTCTCCGGTTACATGTACGGGCACTGCAGCAGAGAGAGCTTAAGCAGGCGAAAGGAAAACAGTTGGAACAATGAAATTAATTATGCGGCAGCTCCTGTGGGACAAGCACTCACTGTTGAAACCCAAGGTCAAAGCAGGCCACGTTGGCTTCGGTCATGCTCCAGCTCTTTCTACATAAGAACATTTTCTCATCTCGGTCCACAAGTTTGACCTGAACAATTCCCTCTGCATTTGTGCTCCCACAACATAAAGAAACATTAAAATTTCCTGAAATAAAAAACCAAAAGGATGGACAATATTTTAGTATTTATGTTTTCTCCCTTATACTTGTCTATTAAAACAGCTAATTCCAAATTAACTTTGAACATCATAATGATTTTAACAAATAATAAGCTATTATTTTGTGAATGCTAATCATGCGTTAGTGGCCATACTGATCAGTGGCAAAATGCTAAATTCTCATACCAACCCTTAAGGACTATTACACTTATCTTCAATTGAAGACACCACTTACCCAAGTAGTAAAGCTGGGAATTGGGATTTGCTTTACTGTCATGGTTTGAATGCAAATGGCCCCCATAGGCTCATACATTGGTCGCCATTCTAATGGCTCCCTAGTTGGTGGAACTGTTTGGGAAGGATATTGACCTTGGTGGAGGAGGCGTGCCACTGAAGAGGTGGGTTTGAGGGTTCAAAAGCCCATGCCAGGCTCAGTCAGTCTCTGTCTCTCTCTGTGTCTGTGTCTCTGCCTCTGTCTCTCTCTCTCTCTGCCTCCAACTTATAGCTAAGATGTGAGCTTTCAGCCACTTCTCCAGTAGCCTGACATGATGGTCTCACCCTCTGAAACTGTAAGCAAGTTTTCAATTAAATGTTTTCTTTTATAAGTTGCCTTGGTCACGGTGTCTCTTTACAACAATAGAAAAGTAACTAAGATGCCTTCACTAACATTACTCCAACAGCCACACTCTTAGAAGTAAGCCAAACAATGAAAGAACACATCCAAGGGGTTTCTACAGTCTCACAGATGTGAGGTAGTCGGTGCTTCAGGAGAAGAAAAGTGATGCTGAGCGTATCAGCCACTGCCTTTTGTCTACCCATCAGCGGGTAGTAGAGGCTGACCCAAATGGGGAGCCTCATTCCTCATTTGCACAGTGTCTTACCCCTTTCACCTCGTACCACTGAATCACTAAGCTATGACAGCTGGCCTGTGTCTCAGTACCTAGAAGAGGGATGCCCTAAGCATACCTGCCCAAACGCAATGTGCCTGCAGTAACTGTGCATCTGGGGGTGGAGCCTGGGTTTTGCTCTGATAGCCAAACTGAAATGAGTCTTTGCAAAGAGCCTTGCACACTTCATTTTAGTTCCCACAAGAGTCTTAGGACTTACCAACTTGTACTATTCATACTTTACAGGTGATGGAACTGGGGTTGAGAGTGGTCCCAAAGGTCACGTAACAGCTGGGTAAACTTACAGGAGCTTGAAATTAAGCTTGACTGGCAGGGAGTTCCCTAATTCTTTATCCTGTATATATTCCTAATCTGCATGCCAGGGGTCTAGCTTCCTAGTCCCATCAGTATAGGACTCAGCTCCTGGACTGAGTGAAGACAAGCTCTGGCCTGAGGTGTTGCGTTGTCCCAGGACGCTAGTGTCTCAAGCTAACCTTGCATAATCAGGGTCAGTGGGCTGGGTTTGGATAAGAGAAATGACAGGGTTGAGGGGACAGATATTAGAAGATATTGCTAAGGTTAGATGTCTGAAGGGTGAGCTGAGGTCAGAGCAGACTGTATCTGTATGAATCTTATGCTAAGATGGTTTCAGGATTTATTGTTTATTTATGTGTAAGATTGTGCGCTGTGTGTGTGTGTGTGTGTGTGTGTGTGTGTGTAAGGAAGATGCCCCAGAGGCCAGAAGAGGGCTTTGGACCTCCTGCAGCTGGAGTTACAGACAATTGTAAGCCAACCAACATGGGTGTTAGAGTCCAAATTCTGGAAGAACAAGGAGCTCTCATGACCGTTGAGCCATCACTCCAGCCCCCTCCTAGCAAGACCTTTTCACTGAATTCTGAAGCAGTTGGATGGCCCTGTGACTAATCCCTTAAATCAAGCAGAGGGGGCAGTGGGGAGATCCTGAAGGGCTGGGCAGCAAAGAGGGCGACCTCAGAGGCGTGGGGACTCAAGGAAAGCCTGTATTCCCATGACCTCTGTTTTTCTAGTGATCACTGTTATCTAAAAACGGCTTATTGATGGTGGGTCATGGCCCTACATGGCTGGTTAATTGATTGTGAGTGGCAAAAGTTGGCAAAGGGTTTCTGAAAGCATAAACCAAAAGTTAACAAAAAAATCAAACATGTAGCTGGCTTGTTGCTGACTCACGCCTTTAATCCCAGCACTCAGGAGGCAGAGGCAGGCAGATCACTGTTTGTCCAAGGCCAGCCTGGTCTACAGAGCAAGTTCTGGGACAGCCATGGCTAGACAGGGACACACAGCCTCAAAAAAAAATCAAAAGTGTAATGAATCTGAGGTGTTTCTGGCAGTGTGTGGCCATGTTGCTTCATGTGATTTTACTGCAGCCGTGGTTTCAAACACACACCACTCACACTTTTCTCTGAGCATGCACCATGCCGTGCAGTAGAGATGAATGCCGTCAGAAATGCCTTGGCTCAGATCCAAGACTACTGTAGCTTTTTTTTTTTTTTAACCATACATGCATACCTTTTTGCTCATACAGAAACATAATGCTCTAATTGCAGAAAACAAACACTTCTAATATTTTCCCACCATCCTCTCTCAGCACCCAGGCCTCAGATTACTGTGCATCTTTGGATTATATTGTATTAGAATGTTTGATTTTTTTTTTAATTACTGACTGAGTTGCTGACTTAAGTAGTATTGTTTTTGTTGTTGTTGTTTGTTTGTTTGTTTTTAAACAATTAAATGTATTTTGGCTTGGGATCAGGACAGAATTTTGAACAATTTCTGAGGCAGTCCTAACCATACCCCTGCTGCTTTGTATTAGTATGAACCAAGATTGCCCCAACTGACAGACTCCAAAATCACAATATTGATCACCTCTGAAAAACACTGAAGATTATGTCCTACAATGTCTAATGCTTAGGCAAGATTCAACACATGTAAAAATAAGGACATCCATATCATTAAAATGCAAGTTTTCTTTCATGTTAAAAGTAAAACTATAGACATATCAAAGAATTACTTTTAAATCAGCTTTTTATAATCACCATCCAATATTTGGTGTGCACACCCATTTCATGTATTTATATATTCAGAGTCACTCAAAAATTTCCTGAGTGAAAAGGGGGTCATGAATGGGGAAAAAAATGTTTTAAGAAGCTCCCAGTCTACAAAGAATGTTAAGCTGCCGTTAGAATATTTCGCAGCAGAAGCATTTTGTGCTGAAGGGGTCGGTCGCATTTCATTGCCCTCCTGTTAGAATAGCCTGTTACGCACATCTTCCCTCCCTACCTTCATCCGCGCAGGTTCCATTATTTGAAAACTTTGTCTGCGGGTTAAGACACTCGGCACTCTTCTGGTGACAGTACGTCGGGTAGACCCTTCCGTTCGTGGCGCACACTGGCGAGTCCTTCCTTGGGCACTGGTAAGGGAGTTTGCAGACGCAGGTTCCGTCGACACATTTCTGCCACGGCTGGCAGAAGACTTTGTAACAGGAGCGGTGCGTGTATTTTTGCAGCAAGCATTTCTGATCTAGCAGATCCTCCTGAAGCGGAGCTGACGCTGGCGCGCGCTGGGAACAAGAAGTAACAAAACACAAGCTAACCTGACTCTTTTCTCTTTAGATTTGCTATGGTTTACTTCCTATCCCCAAAGAAACTCCTCTTGAGGCGTTTTACCTCTCTGGAAGGTAGCTGGATGACCCTTGAGGATGGGCGAGGCAGGCTTTCTTCTTTCTTCTCGAGAACATCAAAGGTTCCTATTCTCAGTCTCACCCTGCTGTCATTTAAAATGACACCACAGGCTGAAGGCATTGTGCCAGGTCCAAGAAGGAGAAAGGCTATGGCTATGGCTATCCATGTGTGTGTGTTTGTATATATGGATGCTGATTTCTGTGTATGGATATATATGAATGCACACACACACACATATATATATATATGTATACATACACATGTTTCAAGTTACGTAGGAAATTCAATATGGTGTTTATTGTTTTGGTTGGGATATTTTTAAACATAAATGCCCCTCCTTTCCCAGAATCAGCATGCAGTTGGAACTGGCAGGAAGATGACCACACAGTGTGGGCAAGAAGGGTGGGATCTTCCATGCTTCTCTCTAATTGCTCCAAAGGAATAGAAAGCATTGTTTTGGAATCAACTCTATTATTTTTTCCTTGGGGATAAAAAAAAAAAATCATTGGCCTACTTAGTTCTTGTGGTTTCCCAGAAGTCAGTAGTGTATATATGAGGAAATAGTTTCCTCTTCAGTTCCTCTGACCACTGTAATTTTCATCTAATGGCCCCACAGGCAGACTCTGAAAAGAAGCAATTTACTTTGTTTCCCATGTCTCGCTGCTATAAATAATACTACAATGAGTTTCCTTATTCATGCACATTTCCCACATATGCTACCTACATCTGTCAGACACTTACCTGGGTATGAAATCACTGACTCTAAAGCATAAACAGCTTTAACACTGAAAAATGACTCAATTTTTCTCAACAGAGGTTTTCTCTCCTTCGTGTTTGTGGTTCAAGATGTGCATTTTCAGCTTTCTGTTCCTGCTGCCAGGCCTGCTGCCTAAGCTCCTGTTGCCATGCTTCTGCTCTGCCCGCACGGATTCTTTTCCCTTGGGAACTCTAAGCCAAAATAACACACACCCCCCCTTTTTATAAATTGCCTTTGTCATGTTTTTTTTTTTTTGTTTGTTTGCTTGCTTATTTATTTGTTTTTGAGACAGGGTCTCACTATAGAGTTTTTGCTGGCCTCGAACTCACAAAGATCCACTTGCCTCTGTCGTTCCGTGCTGGGATTAAAGGCATGCAACACTACACCCAATGGTTGTGGTTTTTTATTATACCACCAGAAAAGTTACTAATACAAGTCCCAAGGCAAAGCAGCTTGAGCAGAGAGCTTGATAAAAACATATCGAGGACCCTACAGAATTCTTAGACTGTTTGAAATGAATAGAGCATACATAGGTAGTGATCCAGAGACAACAGAAACTTTGAAATGACAAAGCTGACTTTCCTTGGTGTTCTAGTTTGGTTTCTGTTGTTGTGATACACGTGGATCCAAAACAACTTTGGCTCACAGATTATAGTCTATCAGTGAGGGAAGTCAAGTCAGGAACTTAAAACAAGAACTCAGAAGACTGACTCAGAGACCATGACAAACACTTCTTACTGGCTTGCTCAGCTACCTTTCTTTTAATAGCCCAGGCCCACCTGCCCAAGGGATGGTACCTCCCACAATGCACTGGGCCGTTCCCCATCAATCATCAGTCAAGACAATGCTCCACAGTTTGTTGTAGGCAATCCTTCACCTGAGGGTTCCTCTTCTCAGTTGTGTCCAGTTGACAACCAAGGTTAGCTATAATTGTCCAGAGTACCTCAGATACACAAAGTAAGTAGCAAGAGGTGAATGGAACCCTGGAGCTGCCTCAACTGGCAAAACTGCCCTGTGACATTTCAGTAGCAAGGACTTTTTTAAAAATGGAAGGAACATCAAAAGATGAAATTAGCAGGTGCATGGATTCAAAGACCATTCTTTGACTTGCCATGGAATAACCAGAACTAAAATTGGAAGCCCTGTTCTAATTCCCAAATTGCATGGGTCATCCTACTGTGGAAGCGATTCAGTGCACCTTTAGCAAGCACAAGACCTATTAAAAAAAAACAAGAAGAAATAAAAAGGATGCCCCTAACTACATAGAAATCTTTTAAATTTTTTTACTTTATTTTATTTTTATATTTTAAGGCTTTGAATTTTATTTTCTGTATCAACCATTAAAAGATTATTCTTTTTATTAATAAGTGTTATTCACTGATTTTTAAAATTTAAATAATCCTGATTACTTTTTCATCTCTCCTCTCTTGTTTCTCCCCCACCCCTACCACTATCCATTCTTTCCTACATATTTTTAATTAATTAATTTATTTATTCACTTGATATCCAATCGTAACTCCCTCTCTCCTCTACTCCCCATCCCATCTCCCATCCTCTTCCTCCTATCTCCCCCATCCCTACCTCTCAGAAAAGGAAAGCCCCACCACCACCAATCTAACCAGACAGGACTCCTAGTGGAGAGAGGGGAACACCAACCCACCCCCCAAAATCTTTGACCTAAAATTACCCTGCCTACAAGATGTGCAAGGATAAAGATAGAGCAGAGATTGAAGGAATGTCAAACCAATGCCTGGCCCAACCTAAGACCCACCCTGTGGTGGGTAATCCCTCACACTATTAATGATACTCTGCCATCCTGCAGCTAGGAGTCTAGCATAGCTGTCCTCCAAGAGGCTTCACCCAGTAGTGGTTAGAAGCAGATGCTGAGACTCAGAGCCAAACATTGGGCAGAGCAAAGGGAGCTTTGTGGAAGAGTAGGGTGTGTGTGTGTGTGTGTGTGTGTGTGTAAGGATAGAAGCACCTAGAGGTAATAAAAAATCCATAAAGACCAACAGAGTCAACTAACCTTGGCCCAGGGAGGCTTGTGGAGGCTAAAGCACCAACCAAGGACCATGCACGGATTGGACCTAGACCCCCTATTCATTGTACCTGATGGGCAGCTTGACTTTTATGTAGGTTCCCTACCTAGCAAGAGGAGTAGGGACAGTCTTTGACAAGGACTCTGTTGCATGCTTTTTGATCACTTTGCCTTGGCAGGGCTATCTTGCCAGGCCATGGAAGAGGAGGATGCGCTCAGTCCTGATTGACTTGATGCGCTGGGGAGGGTTGGTGGGAGGAGCTCCCTTTTATTTTATTTTTATTTGTGTGCATGTAGTTGTAATTGTAGGTATGCATACATGAGTGTAGATGCCTGTGGAGGCCAGCAGAGGGCATCTCATCCCTTGGAGCTTGAGTTACAGGGGTTTGTGAGCCACCTGACGTAGTGCTGGGAACTGAACTCAGCAGCTCTGGAAGAGCAGTAAGTATTCTTAGCTGATGAGCTATATATCTGGCCCTACATAAAATTCTTCAAGACGGTGGACAATGAGTAGTTCACCAGATGCAGGGGTTAATGTTAGTGATCAAGAATGAGTTCTGGAGCTCACTCTGACCCCACTGTCCCTGTCAGAGCTTCCTTTGTAGAGCTTGGTGGCTTGGATGATGAGAAGCACACTGTTGGATTTTTCTCATTGACATTAGGTCAACTACTTGATTTTAAACATAAGCTTCCCAAATTTTCTGGAGAGACAAAGATTCAGGGGAAATCTCAAAAAATTGTTTTCTTCTTAGACTGACAAATGAGAAACACATACTAAAAGAATCATTCCCTACTATGCATGCTGAATGTGCTGTTCAATTGTTGGGATAAGATCTACTGAAATTATGTCAGAGTGACCTTTGAGCCTGATGAATGAACATATAACTATCACCTGAACAGACTTGTGGCCTGTAAGCTGAGAGAAACTAAAGAAACCCTTTAAGAGTTAATATTGGACATCTGAGCACATAGGAGCCTGGGAAGGGGACATGAACATTTACATTTGTCCCACACCAAGAATTCCAAATTTGAGGCCATAGCCACTGAAAGAACATACTAGAAAAGCTATTGAACTTCTACTGGCTATGTTTTCTGTATACGACCTCAGCTACCCTTTCTGGCCCCATGTAACATCCAATTTTACTAGTACAAAAGTAAAGTCTTAGGACATTAGTCAGACTGTGGACGATACTGGCCCAAAGGTGTCAAACTTACCGTTTTGACCAGAGGTTTCTGTTGGCTTGTAGTTCTCAAGGATGTTTTGTTCTGCCGTACATCAGCCTGAGAGAAGTCACATATGCTAATGAGCATGCATGTAATTATATCCATATAGCTGAATGAGTAAATGAGTTTATTCCAGCTGTCCTGTTCTAACAGACCTGAAACCATAGGATGCTCACAGTTGGGAGTGGCTCTGTGGAACAAGATCTTGTAAGGATGAGTATCTGGTGATATCATGTCAAACGACAATGGTAACAGCAACCCCTTCACACAGAAGATAGAATTTATAGTCCTAGTAAGGACCCTCCATCTGGGTAAGGATAGGAGAGCACTAATGTGCTTTTTCAGTTCACTGTTGTCGTTGGTGGTGGTGATGGTCGTGGTGGTGGTGGTCATGGTGGTAGTGGAAATCAAATCGAGGATCTGGCACACACTAAACACTTGCTGTATTGCTGAACTACATTCCAATCCCCATGGGTCGATTTGGAAAAAGAGAGACTGTGAGACAGTTAAGAGAGAGAAACTGAACATGCTAGCAAGCTTCAGATTTGTTAGAAACTGTCCTGCAGTCATTGGCCATAGTCTGTGGCAACAGATATCCATTTACCTGCCTGTTAAAGGAAGCAATTGAGCAAGTCAGAAAGCGAAGGCCCTAGGTCCCTCCCCAAATGTCCCTGATTCTTGGGATTTCACAAATATTCTCTAAGAGTGCTCCTGGGCTGGGAGGAGGGTGGTGAAGGGGGGAAGCTTGCTCAGTGGGTAAAGTGCTTTCTGAGCAAGCAAGAGTGCCTCCCTGATTTTGGACTCCCAGGACCAATGTGAAAGCCAGGCATGACAAGAGGCCGTGTCTTAAAAGGAGAGCAACTGAGGAAGATATATGGTGTCAGCCTTTGGGTCCCCCAATACACACAAATGGATGAGTACAGGTGTGTAGGGCACACACACAGAATGTCCCTGAGGGCTTAACAACAGCCAGCAAATAGGGCCTTGATTGGAGTTTGTCCTACTCTGAGACCCAAAGCAGGTTGGGTGTCTATGACAATAATGCAGCAAGCAAAGCACTCTGCTTTGGTAACATTCTTTCTTGGTTCTTAAAAGCCACATATGTGCGTGTTACAGTCAGCCCTTGTTGCCGTGACCCTTTTCACACCGATCTATCATGATGTTCTGATTCAAGAAAAAGCAAAATGGACAGGGGTATTTTTTCCCATCCCCTAAGTAGAAACGTGCAACTGGCATTTAAAACAACAAAAAATGTCTCCCAGATGACTATAATTTCATTTTGAAAACACAGTTTGAGCTCTTTGAACACATTTAGGTTGCTCCTATGATAAGCTGTATTATAAACGGTGGAATAAAAATTTTCCATTTTCTTTCATAAACTGATTTTTTTTTTAAAGTTCGGAAATTTGTGCAAATTTTGTATTAACGTTTATTTAACTACACTCATTTGTTTATTTTGTTGGGAGTGGGGTGTATGAGCCACAGCCTGTGTACGTGGAAGTCAGAGGACAACTTGTGGGAGTTGGGTCTCTCCTTCTACCACGTGGCGTCACAGAGCAAACTCAGGTCATGGGCTTTGGTGGCAAGTGCCTTTACCCACTGAGCTATTTAGCTGGCTCCAAATGCTGGTTCTTAAAGCACCGAAGAGATCTTTATTTTCAAAAGACTGTTCAATAAAAGAAAGCCACCTTGTTGTTGTTGTTTCCAAGTGGAGTATTACTGTATTAATTCTTCAGTTTGTTCCAGGAAGCAGAAATGGGACTATAACGGTTAGTTTACCCTGTCAACTTTACACAACCCAGACTCACCCAGAAAGAGTCTTGATGACAATTTCTCTAGATCAGATTGGCCAGCTTGTTTCTGTGAGGGATTGGTCATGATTGTTAATCGCTGTGGAAAGACCCAGGTGACTACAAGGAGCACCATTCCTAAGAATTGGTTCTAGAACAGTATAAAGTGGGGGAGGGGGATTTAGCTGAGAGCAAGCAAGCAAGGATCTGTGTGTTGATTCTTTCTGCTCTTGACTGTACATGCAATGCTTTCATTTCCTGCCTTGACTTCCCCACAATTATAGGCTATAATTTGGAATTAGGAACCAAACAAACCCTTTCTTCTTTAAGTAGCTTTTTGTTAGGATATTTCTCACAGTAACAGAAATGAAACTAGAACAGGGCTATAAACATTCTAAATAAAATTTCTAATTATAAATGTTTAACAAAACAGACTTTTTAATTGTGAAATTTAAAAATATAGAAAACACAAAATACCAGCAAAACGAATACCCAGATATAAGAGCTGTTAAATATTTGACACATACACCACAAGAATCTTTTAATTGTCGTATAGAGAAGGAGCTATACTATACATTTATGTGTTGTGTCTATATATCTATTCACATGTATATTTCTTCTATAACAAAATATACTAGCATTCAATTTCTTTCTTATCAATGAATGTTTAGCTTAGTCCCATTTTATCAATATAATAACAACATTTTAAATGATACATGTAAAACCCTGATCTCATAAATAATTCTGATCTCATAAGTGGTTTTTTTTTTTGTTACATAGTTGCTTTTGCAAGCTACACAAAGGCAAAACATTTTGGGAATGTTGTCTCAAAGTTGACAGTCAGCAACAGATGTTTAAGATGGCTTAAACATGTTTAGCTTTAAGAGACAGTGTACCATTACAGTTATCTTTTCTTGGAGACTACAAAGTTTCTTTACTTGAATGGGACACATTTACTTAGCTGGAGGACAGGTGGTACTTAAAATACCTGCTCCCCTTTCTGCCTGAGAGGGCTGCAAAGGATCACTCTTTCTCACCAACTGTCAAATCAAACATGGAAAGATGGGCCCAGGAGAAGTCCCTCTTGTTCCATAGTCTCATCCTGACCTCTCAACTTTCAGTGACTTCTCCTCTCCCTGAAGTTATTCACCCTCTGGTATTTTTACCACTTTGGCAATTAGGTGTATAGAGATACTTTATAACCATTTTCTTTCCAACAGTATTTAAATGATACATATCTATGCTATAAATTTTTATCTTTCTTGAACTAATGCTATGTGGCCACATCCCTTTGAAAGCCGGGACACACGGTGATCATCAGGGTGAGCAGCCACATCTTGCCTGTGTATCCTAGACCTTGTGTTTTGACACCCTGACCTGCGTACAAAATGCCCTGTACTGAGAACAGTATTCAGCAGACTGGGTAAGACAATCAGTGCTTTCCACAGTGCTCTTATTGGATGACTTTGCCCAGCTTCAGGAGAGTGTGCCGTGAGCATGGTTAAATTAGGGTAGGCCACACTGTCAAGTGCAGCTTCATTAGATACATTTCCCACTTAACGGTACTTTCAGTGTATGATGGGCTCATCTGGATGCGATACCATTACAAGTAAAGAATCTCTTTCTGATCTTGTAATAGCCCCCTTGTTTTTGCATTTTCAAAGATAATTTAAGTCTTGCTTACTATTTTTCATCTGACACAATTTAATCATCTTTCTGCAATTTTGTTAAAAGGGTGCTGAAGGATCACTCTTATTATCTTCCTATCACTGTACCTTACACCCAGAAGAAGCACGGTGAAGGTTTATTGATTTAGTAGAACAGTAAATTATAGCAATGAATCAACAAGTTCTTATTCAGCTCAATGTTTATGTATATGTTAAGCATATTAAAAACTATTTCCTTAAGCTCCTTTTATCAAGATATTAATTCAGGATCCTTGCTACTGTTTATTTGCTTTCTTAACAACTGACCTACTGTAATGTTTATGTCTAAATCACATGTTTTAAGGATTTCCCTATATTTTTATAATCTTCAAAATGTCTCCTTAAAAGACTTTCCATAACGATCGCATCACTCACCTTAGAAGAGCTCCAGTGGAGGTACAAAAACAGCAGAATAAGACGAGTGAGCTTCATGCTGGAGGTGTGCGGGGCTGGGTCTCCACGAAAGACTCTTGTCCATGTTAGATACTCTCCTGAAATTTAATCTTTAACCTCTGAAAAAATATTTAAAAAGGAAAGAGCTTTGTACTTTTGAACTCTTAGAGGATTTGGCTAATATCCAGAGTTTTACCGTAACTGAAACAAAAAACAGCCTCCCCAGTAAATAGCTGGGGCAGGCCACCAATAGGAAGTGTTTGCACCAGGGGATTGTTCTGTCTTGGCTTTGACAATGCCCCAGTTCTGTTTTCCAGGGAACACAGAAAGAACCACTCTGTGTGTGTGTGGGTGGGTGGGGGGAGGATTTGGTAAATAAATTACACTCTTCGGCTTCCGATTGAGGAGGAGAGGGCTGTGGCAGCTGAAATGCTGCCTGGCTGCGTTCTCTAGAGCCATATATGACAGAGGCTTGGGTGAAAGACTCTCATCAGGCATCAATATCCATGCTTTCATGGAGAGAGAAGCAATGGGAGAACAGGGGGAGAAATGGGTCCTCTGTGTGGGTTCAACAAAAGCCGGCTATGGGGCGCCCTGGAGAACTGTGATTGGTCAGTTCTCTGCCTCCGGAGAAAAAGACTGGACCGTGAGACCTCACCTTGCTCAGTCAGAGGCGCTGCTCCAGAAGGCAAACCCTTCGGGAGAGCAGTTCACTGTAGCTGATGCAGACTCAGAGGGCTCTGACAAGGGCTTGTTGTCTGGTGTTTCCTGGCCCTTCTCACAGCCGGCCGGCAAGTTCTTCCATGAAGGACACATCTGGAAGACGCACCTGTGTCTTCAGTGCGCTGCTTGTACCCTTTCGAACTCCTTCCATATATACTCAAAAAGTAGTTCTTCCAAAGTTCTTCTTTGGGCCTCTTCTTCCGGAGAAAAAGCTCACAGGAGGGAGTTGGGGAAACCCCACTAACTCAGACACTGCAGGTCATGTTGAGGCCCAGATGATGCTTATTGGTTGTCTCTTCATGGATTCCCTATCCTCTTCCTTCTGAGAGCCTGACCTCTGTGGCTTCATGGCCAACCGGTGGTATTAACCCACAGCCTCTTCCAGGCATGGGCTAACGTCCTGGTTTTCACTCTCAGCGCAAAGTTGCTGTTTCCAGGCCCTCCAGAAGTCACGTGATTCCACACACACACTCCTTCCAACCCCCACTGGGAGTACAGGAGCTCTGGTTCCCCTGAGTTGTCAGAGCCAATTACCTCTGTCAAGACCAAGGCTCCATTTCTTTCTTCCTTGTCCCTAGTCACAAAGAGGCCAGTGTGTACCAGGAAACAGCCTTAGCTTTCATTTGTTTAATGGTGTTTTTGCTGATATTGTTATTTCAAGGCAGGGTGTCAGTTCCAAAATGTAACCTTGGCTGGCCTGGTTCTTACTATGCAGACCAGGATAGCCTCAAAGTTATAGGGCTCCTATTCACTCTGTCTCCTGGGTGCTAGAATTGCAGATGTGTGCCACCACATCTGGCTCAATAGCGTTCTTCCTGCACTCCCTGGTGAAGGTGTGGTACTTCCGGGGACACAGACCTCTATCAAAATCCACAGAGCACACAATTGTAAGGGCTGGGAGTGCTAAGTGTGGGCATTCCTGTCTATTTCCCTCAGAAGTTCCCAGAGCCATGTGTCCTTCCTATGAAAGACACAATATTAAGTAAGAGGCTGTGGTTAAATGTACACATTGATTGCTAGAGGAAGGAGCAGTCTTCTCAGCGTGCTGCTGACTAGCACATTAGCAGGTCTGGCAATGCTATACTATCTTTTGGGGGGGTGTGGTATGTGATAATGCAGTGGAATCCTGGGCATAGGCCAACTTCTGTATCTCTTTTGCTGTCAAGAGGGTACCCTTGTCAGGCAGGTTGTTATGTGGGCTCTCTTACTTTGAGACCCTTTGGCTCACGGCACTAACCAGGTCTGGAGGACCCAAAAGGCACACCCCTATTTCAAATACATCTGCCTTTGTGATAAGACACAACTGTTGTTTCTAGGCCTGAAGGGATCAGATGTAGTCAATTAGCCACTTGGTCTCCTTGATGAATTGTGCCATCTTGTGGGCACCATGTTTTACTTTGCAGCTGCTGAATCAAGCGTTGTGTTGATGGCAGCAGCTAAATAGACTTTGGAGGTTATCCTCCACTTCTGCTTCCAAGGCCATATCTGTCTTGTGCTTATTATGCCAGCACTGAACCAACAGATGGCTCAGTCTGGGTGATATCAAAATGTCATAAAAAAATCTTAGTGTCTTTTCTCTTGGAGCGCTTTCTGGCAGATATTACCATGTGACACAAGGAGCTTGAAAACTTCATCCCATTGGCTTATGTACACCCACACACTTCTACCCCAAATTTCTTTATTTTTCAGTATGTTTTAGTCTAGGAAGATGGTTATATGAATACTGCAAGTAATTATATATGTAAAATAGTCTGTCTAAGTCTGATTCCAGACCTGGGAATGACCAGGCTCAACATTTAAGGCTTATTCTAAGGCAGAATTTCACAGCCCTGGAACTCACAGTTGTCATGCCTCAATCTCTCCGCTGCTGGGATCCACATTGCATCCCAGTGAGCATGGGATGACCACTGGTTTTCAAAGCCACCCGGGGGTGGGTGTAATGGGATGCCCTTTGGTTTTGATTTGTACCCACACATCCCACGCAACCGTCTAAAACAGTCTCTCTTCCTTCAGCTGCTCAGAACACATTCCCCCACAGAGTCAGAGGCATGCTGAGACATGGCGGCCATGTCAACTGTTTGGAGGTTTTGCTAGCAGGTCTGAGTTACTTGCTGTGTAGCTTGCTTGTGACCTCTGACTCTGTGTTTGATTACGGAGGTGACATTTTCACGAGGCTTGCCTGGACTAATGTTTTAGTTTCCTAGTTGAGTTAGTTTAGTCCATAAGGACCTGGTTCATGAGGTGCAGCTCTAGACACATGATGACCAGGCTGGGTTTATCTATTCCAATTACCAGGGAGCAGAAGAGTGTACAATGCTTCTCAAAAGGAGCATGGTTCTCTGCTGTTGCTGTATTGGTTCCTGTTCTATCACATCGATTCTGCATTACTCTTCTCTCACTGAGTCCTTCTCAAATACCACACACCGTTTTCCTCCATGACACCTCGTGACACTGTGGGGTTTTCTGTCTGTCAAAAGAGCTAAAGAGTCCCAGAAGACTTGCTAGGCTTATGCTTCTTTGGAGGTGGAAGGTATAGTGTGAAATATCTTGTCTTTCACTGGAGGAAGGATGTTTTGACTTTACTGCTGTGCCCAGGCCTCCTCGCTTGTCCCCAGGAGCACACATACCTTATCAAAGCACCCGCATGCTACCACCGCTTGCTTGTCTGCTTTGATCAAGGCAATGCCATCGCTGCAAAAACAACAACATGTTTATGGAAATCCTGAGGACCCAGATTTCTCCAGATTTTATGATGGCAAAAAGTAGGAGATAAGACTTGGCAAACATAGGTTTCTACTGTTGTGATAAGCAACCTGGGGATGAAAGGGCTTATTTCAGCTTACAGTTTTTCATCATGAAGGAAGGTCAGAGCAGGCACTCAAGGCAGGATCCTGGAGGGAGGAGATGAAGCAAAGTCCACGGACAAACACGTCTCAGTCCCCTGGCTTGCCCAGAAGGCATTCTTGCATACCCCATCATTCTGCTAGAGATGACAGCTCAAGCCCTGGTCTGGGCCTTTCTCCATCAATCATCAACTGAAAAAAAAATGCCGCCACAGGCTTGCCTAGAGGCTAATTTGAGGGAAGCATTTTCTCAGTTGAGGTTTTCTCAGATGACTCTGGCTTGTCAGGTTGACAAAAACCTAACCAACACAAGAACTGAGGAGACGCCGGGTGTTCACCATCCCAGTGAATGAAAACTCTTTGTGGTTCTCTTTTCTGCTGAAGAGAATTTCAGTTTACTGTTCATTACTACGCTTTAAATTATTGCTAAACTAGAATCAACGTTCTCATCTGTAAAACAAATTCTACTGAACGAGTTTTAAACTTTAGGCAATGAGTGGAATTTCTTTTAAAAAAAAAACAATTTATTTGCCAGGCAGTGGTGTCTCATGTCTTTAATCCCAGAACTCAGGAGGTAGAAGCAAGAAGATTTATCTACAGAGCAAGTTTCAGGATAGTCTGGACTCCACAGAAAAGCTCTGTCTTGAAAACATTTCAAAATTATTTTTTATTAGTGTGTATGTGTTTGTGTGAATGTATGCCATGTGTGTTCAGGTGCCCATGGAGTCCAGAAAAGGGCAGTAGATGCCCTGAAGCTGGAGGTACAGAATGGCTGTGAACCTCCCAAAATAAGTAGTGGGAATTCAACTTGCGAGAGCAACAAACACTCTAAACCACTGAGTCATCTCTCCAGCCAGTGGATAGAATTCCTACACTTAAGAATAATAGAAAAAGGCAAAATGAAAATACAATTATACATCTAGGTTATATTAATTTAGTGGTGTCTTCCTTTGGGAAATGCAAAGCACTTCATGAAGAACAGTGCTTATATCAGTACCTATGGTGCCCATAAGCACTCGGCTCCTTGATGGTTTCTATATCAAACCATGTCTATATCACTCCTATATCAAAAAAGCAATCCTAATGGATTCATGACACACTGCTTTCCACCCTTGTCCCCTCCAGAAAGATGGCGATGTCAGAAAGTTGGGGATAAAATGAAAAGAAAGTTCTGTGTGGTGTTCTAAGAATGGGGTTTAGACTACCTCGTTACTATGACCAATACTTGACATAATGCACATAAGCACTTAGATCATGCTTTCTGAACATCAGCCCATCAAGGCAGGGAGGGCGTGGCAGAGCATGGCACCACACTGCATGGCAAGGCTGTTCACTTTGTGGTCTCCAGGAAGCAAAGGAAGAGGAATGGATTGATGAGCGGCTGTAAGCATCTTCCTCTATTCAGGCCTCAACTCCCAGAGTTGTGTTATTAGCTGTTTTCAAACATTTGACACATGAACCTGTATGAGACATGTATAAATACATGGTATTTATCAAATATGAGCTACTTCACTCAAGAACACTTTAAAAAAAACTGAAAATCTAGTAAAAAACCATATAGATCTCTTGCCACTTGTACAATTCTTATGACTTAGCAAACTGTTTGTTCTGAGAGGAGCCAATATTTATTGACTCTGGCCACTAAGCACCAGTGTAATTTATAATGGTGTAAGCTAAAGTGTAGGGTTTTAGCAATTAAAAGCATGTCTGAGTTGAAAGTGAAGTGTAGGAATCCTTCCTAGAAAACAGCAGGCCAGAGATTCCCATAGGACTTGCAGATGAAAGATGGCTGTAGAAGTGTCCATACAAGAAAGTTTTCACCACATGAACTAGTTCAACAACTATCTCCATGTCTTTAGGGAAAATATTTAGATTTGGTTATGAGATTCTTGGGCTTAAACTGACATTGACTCTTTGAAAATATCATATTATAAAAGGAAATTAAAAATACTTTAACCTGATCAAAAACTCAAGTGACAACACATGCTGGAGAGGATGTGGAGAAAGGGGAACCCTCCTCCATTGCTGGTGGGTGTGTAAACTTGTACAACCCCTTTGGAAATCAATCTGGCACTTTCTCAGAAAATTAGGAATAGTGCTTCCTCAAGATCCAGCTATACCAGTTCTGGGCATATACCCAAAATATGCTCAAGTATACAACAAGGACATTTTCTCAGCCATGTTTGTAGCAGCTTCATTCAAAAGAATCTGGAAATAATCTAGATGCCCCTCAACTAAGGAAAGGATACAGAAATTGTACATATACACAATGGAATACTCTTCAGCAATTAAAAACAAGGAAATCATGAAATTTGCAGGCAAATGAATGGAACTAGAAAAGATCATTCTGAGGTAACCCAGAAAGACATACATGGTATACACTCACATATAAGTGGATATTAGCCATATAATATAGGAGAAACATAACTAAAATCTATAGTCCTAAAGAAGCTATGGAAGATGCTTTATCATCATTCAGAAGGGCAAACAGCATAAACATTGAAAACTGGAGAAGACAGGGCAGGACAGGAGCCTATCACAGAGGGCTTCTGAAAGTATCTACCAGCAGGGTATCAAAGCAGACGCTCAGACTCAGTCAAACTTTGGGCAGAGTGCAGGGAATCTTATGGAAGGAGGAGGAGATAGAAAGACCTGGAGGGGACAGGAACTCCACAAGGAGAGCAACAGAATAAAAAAATTTGGGCCCAGGGGTTCCTACATAGACTGATACACCAACCAAGGACCATGTATAGAGAGGACCTAAAACCCCTGCTCGGATGTAGCCCATAGGCAGTTCAGTCTCCATGTGGTTCCCTAGTAAGAGGCACAGGGGCTGTCTCTGACATGGACTACTGGGTCATATATTGTTCACTCTGTTAGTGCATGCCTTCACACATGTGTGTACATGTTCATGTAACTCTTATGCAGGGGCGCTGGAAATGGTAAAATTATTTAGAACATTCCTCCACAGTCAAAATACAGGATTGTTCTAGTGGATGGAAAATGAAGCTACTTCAGGAAAGAGGAAGTGTTTGACAAAGGCAGTAATTCTGGCATACTGGGGCAGAAGGAATGGTATGTGGACATACCGATTAGTAATCTTCCAGAAGGCTTCAGGAATAGACTTCACACACACAGCTAAGGGATAGTGCAGGGTTATATGGGGGAGGGATGAGAATGAAACTGTACAAAACAGCAATTTTATTAAGTTCACTAATCATCAAATGCAGCATAGATGGATGAAGTTAAGTCAACAAGCATTTATTTAGTTTGGGGCTCAGAATGGGAAATGTTGCCTGTTGTGAGGTCTGAGCATCGAAATTCTTATACTATATTGAGTTGGGTTGGCAATAAAAGAGGTGGCAGTGTCAAAAGGTTGCACTTCAGCTAGTGACACTACAAAGTTACTTCACAGGAATCAGCAGAAGTCTACCACATTAAGCTGAGCAGCGGTGGCACATGCTTTTAATCCCAGCACTCAAGCAAAAGCAGGGGGATCTCTGTGAGGTTGAAGCTAGCCTGGTCTACAAAGCAAGTCCAGGACAGCTAACTCTACACAAAGAAACCCTGTCTCTAAAACAAACAAACAAACAACAAAAAAGAAAGAAATCCATCATGTTTGATTAGAGATTGCCACAAGCCTACGATATGGGGCAGGGGTGGTGCTGATGAGAAGGGCATGCTTAAAGGTCTGAGCACAGACATTGAAAAACAAGAGTCTGATGCTACCTGAAGGACAAAAGGGAGTATTGGAAAGATGTACACTTTGGGAGAGAGGGGAAAGAATGGCCTCATGAGAATTAAAGATTTTAGTTGTCTCTCTCACTAGACTGGGAAGTTTCTTCCTTCCTCTGAATGTCAGTTCCTCATTTATATATAAAATCATCATCTGCCAGGTGTTCCTGAAGAGTCTGTTGAAGTTCAATGGTTAAATCATGCTGAGTTGGAAACAACAGACGGACATCAAGTGGAGATACAACACTGAACTTAATGTTAAATGTCAAAATAGAGAGATATGAATAACTCTAACCTTCTATGATGTACCTCATTACATATACCACAATAAGATATTATATTGCAGTTGTATATATTATATTAACTGGATATACAGAGATAAATAAATAAATAAATAAATATATATATACACTCATAACATATGAATTTAAAGTACATTTGCCTAATTATTTTTATAAGTGGGGCTGGTATGTACTTCTTCAACAAGTTTATAGTTTAGGCTAAATGACATACTTAATGTTTCTATATCTCTTACAAAGATCTTTCAAAAACTTACTCACAATAATGACTCTTCTGATATGGGGATCAATCACTACCTTCTTTCAAATTAAAGGTGGTATTGTCAAATATCAAGAGATATTTCAGACAATATCGGATACAAAAGAAGTTATTAAAAAATTTAATAACTAGGGGTCACTTCCTTTATTATGAGGGAAGTTTTAGTGATGTAGGGAAACCGATATCAGAAATGGGAGGGTTAAGAATACGGGAGGTGAAGCGCATCTATAGATTTGTACACCGCCTGTCGGTGTTCAAAACGTATTCGATAAATGAATAAACTGAGACACTATTAAAAGATGGCTGCGTTTTTATCCGCTCTCTCTCTCTATCTCACAGTTTTCTGTTTTAATAATAACAGTACCCCCCGCCAAAAAGGGCAAGAGACTGCAAAGAACTCAGCTGACGGTGACAGGTTCTGACGTGCCCTTGCCGGACCCCCGGCGAAAGCACGGCCAGACCCGAGATGTGGAAACACTCTGCGGAGCAGAGTCAGGGAGGGACATTCTCACATCCCCAGACGCGAGAGAACCCGGCGGGTGGTACCAGCGGCGGCCAGACCGTCTCACCCACTCCACGCCTCGATAGTGGTTACCTCGGAAAGAGGGCGGCACCCGGTCTCCCAGAGCAACACACGGCACACTTCCGGGAGCGTCACGTACGGGGCGCTGGTATTTTGCGTCACTTCCGCTACTCATCCTGCGTCTGAGACAGGGTTTATGCTAGAGGCGGTTGTTTCTCTTCCGGTGCTGTAGGCTCCGTTCGGGAAGGCATTAGGACCTCTGCGTCCGCTGGTGACAGGCTTTTCCTTCGGACCAGCCCTCCGAGTTTCTGGCGTGGTAAAACTGTACCGGTACGGTGGCCGAGAAGGTTTGAGCGCGCCGGAAGTATCCCCCCGCGCTCGCGCCTAGCCGGGGTAGAGACGCACGTGGCGCGGTGAGTGCGGCCGAGGGCGACGGTGTGGGAAGGAGCCGGGTGGGATGCGGCGGCGAGGCGTGGGCCGCGGGCCTGGGACGAAGGCACCCCTCTCTCGGCGCCCGCCAGTGGCTGTGTGGCCGAGTGGCGGGGCTGCGTTCCTGCCGTCCTCCTGCTGGAGTCCTGAGCCAGACTGAGGGGCGGGGAATGGATAAACGCTTAGAGCCGCAGTGACCGGAACGAGCCGGCCGTCTTTTTCACCAGGCCGGAGAGACCATGTCTTTCCGAGGCGGAGGTTTCGGAGGCTTTAATCGCGGTGGTGGAGGTGGAGGCTTCAACCGTGGCGGCGGTAGCAACAACCACTTCCGAGGGGGAGGCGGCGGCGGTAATTTCAGGGGTGGCGGACGAGGAGGATTTGGAAGAGGTCGTGGAGGCTTTAATAAATTTCAAGATCAAGGACCTCCAGAACGCGTCGTCTGTAAGTCGTTTTCAAACCTTAACCTCCTTTCTGTGGAAGTGCAGTCAGGTAGTGGATTGATGTTATTAGCAAGTGTGATGGTAAATCTCCGAAAGGCTAGTCTGTAGGGCACACTGACAGAGTCCTGTCGTAGCACATAAGGAAGTGACCGTGGGAAGTGAAATAGAGTGTGGAGATGAACATGAGTTTGGACTGCAACAGTGAAAATTAGACAGTATTGAGTGCCTAGCCCCGTCTGAAAGAGAGGAAATAATTTCGGGGTTCGGTTTCTTTGGTCTTGTAGTAAGATGAGTGCTGTGATCCAGTTGAAATAATAAAGCCAAGTTTTTAGCCTTCGTAGTTCACGCTTTTGCTTATCAATAGGCAAGTGTAATGAAAAAAAAAAAAATCTGCTTGGGAGAACACAACAAAAATGCCTGATTAAAGTAATGTTGAGTGGTTATCAGAGAGCGATGGAAGTCATGAAAAAAAAAGAGAGTGGTGGGTCTGTGTGCAGGATGGGTTTGCTGGACAGAATGGCTAAAGTCAAGGGGCTGTTGTAAGCCATATAAGAGGTGTTGAGAGCCATGTTTAATAAGATTACATGAAGAAAACACTGCCAGGTAAGAGATAGGTCCAACCTTTTGACCTTGCAGCATGGCATTGTCATCTACAGAATTCATTCTCCAGAACCATACAGCCTAGTTAGCACAACCATAAACACACTCCCTTGCAGAAGCCTCTGTATCTGTGCCATTTTGCAGTGGACCACATTCTTAGCTGCCCCGTGGACTTATGGGTGGAGAAGAGATTTCAAAGAAAACTAATAAGTAGAACTTGGCTAATACTGAGAACAAAAGGTTCTAGTTGTTGAGAATGAGTCTTTAGTTTTGTAGGCAAAATAGCCTCATTTTACTAGGGGACAGAGAGAAGAGGAGCCCCTTTTAGGTCCCACAGTAATGGCATTGCTAACTTAGGACCATAGTGTTGATAACTGAGCTCTGCCTTAGGATCAAGGAAAGACCAAATGGCCAAGAACCAACCAGTGTAGTTGGTCAGTATTTGAAATGATTCTCTGTCTGTTTTCTTGTGCTGTTTCAGTATTAGGAGAGTTCATGCATCCCTGTGAAGATGATATTGTTTGTAAATGTACCACAGAAGAAAACAAGGTGCCTTACTTCAATGCTCCTGTTTATTTAGAAAACAAAGAACAAATTGGGAAAGTGGATGAGATATTTGGACAACTTAGAGATTTTGTATCCTTTTTAGTTGGATGAGCCAGTGATGTCATTGAGGAATTATGTCTCCTCTCTTCCCTAGCCAGTTAAAGTCAAAGTAAACTCACTGCTTCATTTAGTAAGTAAGATAGCAATGCTACAGGTGGGCCATAAGGAGAATCTACAGGGGAGAGTGTAGCCATTAATATTTAGAAGTGATGAGTCAAGGAGAGGTAACCTTTTGAATTCTGGGAATGTTGGTATTGGCCATTTGGATAAATACCACAGGATTGTATTGGCTCTTCTCTTGCTTTACATACGATGGTTCCTCTGGAATATGGTAGAATTGAGGGGACAGGGTACTGATTTTTGTTGTCGTTGTTTTGTGTTTTTTTTAGAAACTGTCATTTCCTCTTGGAAATTTCTTTCTTATAGTCAGGCATTCTTTTAAAAATGCTTAAACTCAAAAGTTTAATATCATTTTGCATTTTTATTTCTTACTTGTTCCTTAATGAATTAATAGTATTTTTCAGTTAAATTATCAGAAAACATGAAGGCATCTTCCTTTAAAAAGCTACAGAAGGTGAGTCAAACTTAAAATTAAAATTCTTGGATTCAGAAGGGACTGTTGTTTGGCTAAGGAATAGTTTTACTTGAGAGAGCATATTGCAGTGAAGCTCCGAGGCTGATGCTTAAGAATAGTAACACAAAAACTGAGTTTATTTTCTCCCAAGTGTCTCTGTGCTGTAACCCTGGCTGGCCTGGAACTCACTTGCTAAGATTAGGTTGGCTTCTGACTTAATGTGATCTTCTGCCTCTACCCCTGGAGTGCTGGGATTACAGGTATGTGCTCTCACACCCAGTCTAAGCTTACTAGACTGAAAAGAAATGCTTTATCTAGGCATGGTGTTGCAAGCCAATAGTCCCAGCACCTGGAGGTAGAGAAGCAGCAGGATAGCAACTTTAAATCTCGCTTAGGCTACATATTGAATTCCCAGCCATCTTGAGAAACACAGCAGTGATCTGTCTCAAAAACAAGTAAGTTTCTTGGCAATTGTAGAGAGATACTAAAGGTTTTCACAAGTGTTTTGTTAACATGGTATATATATATATATATATATATATATATATATATATATATATATTTACTGCTTAAAAAAAAGATTGCCATGAAAGTCTCTAGTGGGACCACATTTAGTCTTAGCCTTCCTTAAGGTGTTTTTTTTTTGTTTTTTTTGTTTTTTTTTTTTTTTTTTTTTTGTTAGCCAGGAAAGAGTCTCATACCTGGTGTACATCACAGACGCCTGAGGACAGCTCTTAAGATGACATCCTTTAAGGGCTTGTTCTTAGAGTTTTGATCCAGTCGCTCTTAAGTAGCATCCACAATGCAGTTTCCAGAAAGAAAGCTGGAAAATTTTGATGTTGTTAGGCAAGTACTTAACCACTGGGCTAGCCGCAGAGCAGGAAGTGTATTCTACATAGAGAAAACTGTGAAATGTCTAGCATGGCAAACTGCACAAGGATCCATTGGGCACAGAACATTTAGGATGGGTGGGGAAGGTTCTGAGTTCAAATGAAGGTGATGTAGGAAGGAGCTTGGCAAGTCATGAAAAAGAGATTAGATTTTAGTTTGTCATTATTTCTGAATGATAGGGTAAGCTTGATCTTTATATTTGTGTTTTAAAATACACTGGAGAAACAGAAAAGCCCATTGGAACGTTGTCAGTGCTGGGAAAGGGCCAGGTGTGTAGGCTGAAAGGAGCCATAGATGCTGTGGGGCCAGATGAGACGCCATGAAAATGAGAAGAGGTGGAGTTGTGAGTAGTGCAGGAAGAGGAATTGGTAGGACTTGGTAGAACTCTCTGTTGTTTAATGTTTGATTTCAGCATCTTGTGGGTTATCCCACTTCCTGACTTGGCAGCATTGCAGAACAGAGGTTGAGGGGAGGTGATGAATTTCATTTGGGACACAGTGAGTTTAAGGTTCTTGAGGTAGTCAAGATCAGGGGTTTACAGGGCTGTATAGACTAAAGATAAAGCTGGGAAGTTGTGGATGTACAGATATGGTCTGGGGAGAATGGAAGCAATACAGCACTCATGAGAGCTTCAGAACCCATCCCAGATGTAAATTTCTTAGTGCAGGCTGTCATAATTGCCAGTAAATTAGAGGGGGCAGAGGGCTTGGGGGGGAATGACAGATGACACCACAGGCATGCTATACAAATAGACACACAAAAGTGGAAGTTTTCAAGAGGGAGATTCTCAGCTGTGGCTGAGAATCTCAAAGAGCTGATGGAGTGGTGGTCCCAGAAGCCAAGTGGGAACAGGAAATTAGATAGAGACAGTAACTTGCTGATTGCAAGTGGCCACTAGTCATAGATGCTCTGAAACGTGTGCTTGGAGCTGAAACAGTGCTGAGGAGCGCTTCTACGGGGGTGTGACTTAAGAAAGAGTTAATTGATAGAGACCCTTGAAGCCATTCTGATCCCTGCCTCCCTTACTACAAGATTATTTCAGGATTTACTTAGTGGTTCCCCCACCCACACACACATTTGTTTCCTAGATTATTACAAAGTCTTAAGATAGCAGTGTGGCCAGTTGTACTCTCTGTGGTGGTGGAGTTTCCTGACCGAATACAAGAGCAGTTAGCCGCCCAGGACACTGGATACATGGACTGTCCTGACATGTCTCATGAACGGGAGATGTTGTCATGTCTGATCACTGATTCATATTTAAGTAGCTCTGTAGTGTGGTCGGGCTGGACGGTGTAGATTCAGACTGTGTGTTGGAGGTGATAGGGTGTGAAAGGCTAACAAGAGCTTGTGTAGAAGACAATAGACATAGTTTTTTTAAAGTAACATACTTGTTTCCATTTGAAGCCCTTCCTCATATGGGTTTTATGGAGAAGATCTGGAAAACAGTCTTCTCACATTTCGTTGTCTATACAGATCCTATTTAACTCTGAATATAGGTTGGATTTAGTTTTAAAATAATCATGTTCAAGACATAATGGAATCCTTTCTTAAAATAGCAAATTTGCCAAAGTTTTGAATTTTAGTTCTACACTTCTGATAAGTTCTCTTTTGACATTTCTCTTACATGAAAAATAAATTTTTGGAGACTTTAAAAAAAAGAGAGAGATTGAATTGGCCTTTGTTTTTTATGTGTATGTAGGCAATCTAAAGCACTGATTCATGTATCTTACAGAAAACTTAGTAATTAGAGGGCGGGGGAAAAGGAAGTACTTGCCCAGAGCTGTATAGTATAAACGTTAGAGGTGGGAATTGAACTTACCTGGTTTGGGTTGTCGCATGCTGCCTTGGCACACTAACTACCTCTTTTCAACTTGCAGTTTTACATAGACCCATTCAAGCTGCTGCCACTGCAGAGGTTTCTGCCTCGACCTCCCGGTGAGAAAGGACCTCCCAGAGGCGGCGGTGCTGGTGGTGGCAGGGGAGGTCGAGGAGGCAGAGGAGGCGGTGGCCGAGGTGGAGGAAGAGGTAAGTTATTTTGTAGCCACGGTTGATTTATACAGTTCAGTGTAATTTTGCATGTAGCCAGACTTCTACCTTTATTTCTCTCACATATTGCCAGTATCCAGAGAAGTGCTTTGTTTCCACAGCTTTAATAGAAAAAAAAAAAAAAACAAACTAGCTTTGAAGCATTTTAGACCCTTAGGTTATCCATGTTTTAATGGAGATTTTAATAAGAATGCAGTCACCCATTGCTTACATTGCAGTTACATTCTGAGAAATAGTGTGTCCACTTTCATTGTGTACACTTACACAGATCCTCATGTAGAACTTGCTCACTCAAGGTAGCTTGTTGGGGCAATAGACAGTAATAGAGTGGAGGCTAATGCAGAGGAAACGGAGCAGGCTTTTACAGTAAGCTTCTTCTGAAAAGGGTGCACTACAGAGTTCCAATATAAAGGGAAGTAAATGCACAAGCTGCTAATAGTTGTTTCTAACTCTTGCCAGGTATTGTGTGCTGTGCATAAGTGTGTGTGCTGTACTTCTATATGACGAGTCTTGTATGTACTAGCATTGCTGTAAATGTCTTGCTCTATAATATGGGATAGTAGAATCCCAGGTCCCTTATTTTAGGAAACTGATGTCTTTCTTATGCATGAAATGTCACTGCTTATTATATGACTATATAAGGTTGTTTGTTTATTGTTGTTGTTGTTTTTTTCCTTACAAAGAGTTTTTCTGTGTAGCTCTGACTGTCCTGGAACTTGCTATATAGACCAGTATGGTCTCAAACTCACAGAGATCTGCCTGCCTCTACCTCTCAAGTGCTGGGATTAAAGCCGTGTGCCACACTGCCTGGCAAGAATTTCTTAACTGACTTGTAGTTTTTTAGCTATCACTGAGTCATTTGATTACATGTCAAGATCTGGTCTTATATGTATCTACTTAATATCCACATATATTTTAATTTCTCCAATAAGTTGTTTGAGCTGTGGTCTAAATGCATGCTGTGGCATGCACATACAGAAAATAAACGAAAATCAGAGAAGGTACTAGTCTCTACCCTGCTTGGGAAACTGCTGTTTCTCCATTATTTTCTCTTCAAAGGTTCTGTAAAATACAATGGATGAATTTATAGCTGTTATAATGATAGGAATTGTATAATCTTTGCAGCTTATTCGAAGATGAGAGGCTATAATTATTTAACAAGTGTTTCCTTTTTAAGGTGGCTTTAGAGGTGGAAGAGGTGGAGGTGGGGGCTTCAGAGGAGGAAGAGGAGGTGGTGGATTCCGAGGTGAGTAGGACAAAAAAATGCCTTTACATGACTGGATTTTTAGCTTGATAATTGTTGGTTTCTTTCCATGGAAGTTTCTTTCCACTAACAAGTATGGAGAACACTGATGTCTTGGCTTTACAGTAATTTACAGGTTTTTACTACTTAATTCCTTGTTGTTTTCTCTTAATTTTTCATCAGATTACTGTTACATTAATAATTTGAAAAACAAAAAACATAATATGAATTACAATTGTGTTTGGTAATATAAATTTAACAGTATAAAATTAACAAACATAGGAACTCCTATGATTTTAAACTTTAGACTAAGGCATTGTTAGAAACACTCTTGATCTTTATTTTTATTTATTTATTTTTTTAAATCAGGAAGAGGACATTAGATGTGCAGTTGACAGACCTCACCACTTCTGTTTTGCTGCGTGGTCTGCTGCTGTGGTTGAAGTCTGTCTGGAGCAGTCCTGAAGATGCCGCTCTGTCAGTGGAGCTGAAATGTCAGCATCCAGTAGAAACAAGTGGAGCAGGACAGCCAGTTTCCTCAAGAAGAGTGTGGAGAAGAGCTTTGTACAGTACCTGGCACCCTGTGGGTGCTTAAGGAATGACAGGACTTTATTTGGATTTTTTTTAAATAAAATTTTTTATTTCTTAAACTTACTGTTTATTGAACTAAACCTATTTTTTTGGAATTTGAAGGAACAAGTAAAGCTTAAACCCATTGGATCACAGATAGAAAAGGGGGAGTAGGGTGAGACTTTTTACAATATACTATGATTCTAAAAAGCACTGGATACACTCAAACACAAACCCCTTCCTGTCCACCAGGTTGCTGGAACAGTACTTTAGTTACTTAGAGATGAACTCCTTTTGAATAGGGGCAGAGCAGCAACATTTGCTGTATTTCACTTTTGTGTTTTATAGCACACAGAAAAAAGCTACTACAGTTGGTAGTTACTTAAATTTTTTACTTTAAGTCCATTAAGAGTTGAATGGCTCTGTTCGTGTGAAAACTATAATTGAAGAAATTTAGGAGTGGAAGTTAAAGTATGGGATATTAAAAGTTTTCTGGGAAAAATTTTATAGCAAAGACTTATATGTTGTTGTCTTTTTATGTAAATATTTGACCATCTATCACATGAGCCACGTTCCTGGGCAGGGATATTATAGATGAGATTGGCTTTGTTCTGCATTGCTAGTGTACTGTCAAAAAATTAGCACCACAGTCAGCTAGGCTACCTCAGCATGGATCCATGTGCCAGCTGTCTCTCTGTCTCCCTCATTGGTTACTTCTCATGCATGTCTACTGTAGCATGAGTGACTTGTTCTTTAGTGCTTGTCTTAGTAACGTAATTGTGTCTGAGTTCTACCCATTTTGGTTAATGGAGTCACAGTGCTAATACATAGGCCAAAACAGCCATGGTGGCAGGAACAGGTCAGAGCTCACTTCTTGATCTGCAAGTGGGAATGGCATGGACTTTTGAAACCTCGAAGCCAGCCCTCACTGACACCCTCCAGCAGGGTACAGCTCTAATCCTTTCCCAGCAGTTGCACTACTAGGGAACAAATACTCAAACATGAGCCTAAGGGAGCCATTATTCACACCATCGGCTTGTGAAGGGTGTTAGCACCAAAGGACAAGTGCAGCATTAAAATGGCAAGGGTGGGAGGATCGAAGAAAAGTATGCAAACCACCTGGAGTTCACACACGTTTTAAAATCCAGTTCATTTGAGACAGGAATTCCTATCCCAGACTGTCCGCACAAATTGTGTGTAGCTAAGGTTGGGAATATAGGGTGCACTGCTGCGCTCAGTGTTCCCTAGACTGAAGATCTGGTGAAAGGGTGATGGACAAATACAGCTTTCTAGTGATTCTGTTACACGCTGTGCTGAAATTCGGTGACCCTTGAGCCTTACTTTGAAGCTCTACTAAGAATTCTATTTCACTGTTAAAAAGTAGTCGAGACACCACTTTATCCTAATCATGCATGTTCATAATAGGCTTTTACATGACAGTACAGACTATTAGGATTATTCTGTTCTTGGTAAATGGAGTAGTTGACTAAGTGGGAACTCAATACATGTTAAGAGTACAGGAGAACTAACCGAGGTGGCAAAGAGCATGATGTATACATGCTTAGACTGGGATTTATAGAGTGGTAGTTAGGGAAAAAAGCAGAGCTGTGAATGTTTGCTACATATATACAAGCCATGCTGGTTCCATACAGTTGATGATCCCATGTTTGAAAGGAAAGTGGCGAAAACCTCGAGCTCTTAGGCACATGCTTTTATATGAGCAAAAATAAACAAATAAAAGGATTACCCCAGGCAATATTGGCACCATTCATGGAGAGATTTGGCAGTATGAGAGTCAATAGTATATTCAAATTGTCGAGGAAAACACGTACGGGGACCTGACATGAAGAAACTCGACCGCTGTGCAGCAGGCAAATTCTCGTGCTGGAGTGCAGCCCCACTGGGAGCTGCACAAGATGAACGCTGGAGTCCAGGCTGCTCCTGAACTGCTTTCCTGGTTTTTTTTTTTTTTTTTTTTTTTAAATAGGACAAACAATAGGTAATCTGCTTATAAATATAAGACTGGAGCCTTTAAAGTGCTTAAGATGCGTGGTGGTTGGGGTTTCTCTTTGTTTTACTAAGGAGATTTCCCCTCGTTCTAGAAATTAAAATCTTTCCTCTTCAACCCAATTGTGTGTTAACGGAGGGCCTCTGTGAAAAAGCCTTTCTTTGAGGTCCAGAAGTGGAAATGATTTGTTCTGAAAGAACTCCCCGACAGATCGCCATTGCCCAAGGCTACTCTGAAGGTGGTCTTGCCTCCCCAAAATGCTGAGCAGCACTTTAGATTCTAACAGTTCAGGCCCGAGCCATGGAGGGTCTGTCTTTTCAAAGACTGAACACAGCGTCGTGGCCGCTTACCTGATTGTGGCAGGTATGGGGGCTTATTCCGTCAGCTGCTTCTCGGGGGAGGAAGGTAGAGCTGTGCAGTGTGGGCTAGCTTGTAAAGGGAGATGGTGTACTGTTTTGGGGCTGTACAGGGGAAATGGACATGAACGAATAAATGACAAACACTGTTAAGGCTGCTTCTTGACATGGGAGATTTTGATAATTAGTGAGAGTGAAGGGGTAAGAAAAACTTGCTAGGAAATGAAGTTTTAAAATAAAAATTGTCCATAAATTTGGTTCTCACATTAGATTCATGAGCAAAGTATGCATGGTAAAAGCACGCTTTATATCATTTACTGTTCTCATGTGCATGTTGATAATGTGCTTTTGTTGATGCAAACATCAGATTGAGCCAAAGGCTTGTTTGTAGGAAAGGGGGTGAGAGAAATGACAAATCTATAAAATCTGTAAAAGCATGGCTTTTATAATCAGCAGCCACTCAATCTCAAACTGTGTAGACAGTGGCGAGTTTTAGTAACTTATATTGGGTTCATTGCTTTTTGGATTGGCTTTTATGAAAAATTTCGAGTGTGTTTCTAAAAACAGTGAGAAATGTATCTCCTGTGTCTGCTTTATAGCTGCTGAGTTTTCGCCTCACATTTGACTTGGACTATAGATAACAATTTCCATTTAATTTTAGTGGTACAGTAGCTAATTCATTTTCGTACTACTGTATGGTTAAAAGGAAAAAGTGGGCCCACTGTTCCAGAATTACATGTAGACACTGTATAAGTTTTGGCTCAGTTAAATATATGTGACAAGGAAAATCCCACACTGGTGGGGCATTTTGGAGGCTGAAGCACTAGAATTGCTGAGGATTCTGGAGACACTTGGGCTACATAGTGAGACTCTGTATTAAAATATAAAAACAAACAATGACAAAACAAACTAGTCACAGATTAGTATACAAGGGAAATTTTCTAGGAAAATCTTATAGCTGCTTTTTAGTTTTGTTACGCTAATTCATACAGCTGAAGAGCTTGAGAAATTTTTCAAACATATATTTTCAAGTGGCTACTTGGCTTTGAACACAGGCCTTTTTGTGAGCCCTCTGATATAACTTAGGGAACATTAGCGTGTGCAAGCTTTGCTTATGTTTTGTAGAGGAACTGAACGAGGCACATCTAATAAACCTCTGTGCTTCTGTTCTGTGTGTCAAGTATCTCTTGTTCCTCCTATCCCCTCATTTTCCTCCTTTAGCAAAACAAAAAACAAAAAAGCACTCGGACTCTCAAATGAGAATGAAAACGTTGAGGAAAAGGATACCTATGTAGATTTTTTTTAACTATACAGTTTATTTATTTTATATATGTATTTAATTAATTTTTGAACCAGGAGTTTGCTGTATTGTTTGTACTAGCCTGGAACTAGCAATGGAGCTAAGGCTGGCCTTGTACTTAGGATCTTCCCGATTCTGCCTTCTGCGTGCCGGGATTACAGGTGTGCTGCCACCATGCCTGGTGTAGCTGTAATTCAATCTATTTTCACTTCCATGTCTGTGTGTTGTCTTCGTGAGTGACTGCCGCATGTGTATCCACAGAGCCCAGAAGAGGTCCCCTGGGGCTGCAGTTACAGGTGACTGTGAACTGCCCCATACAGGTGCTAAGAACAGAAGTCAGGTCCTCTAGAAGAACAGCGAGTGCTCTCAACCACTGAGCCATCTCTACACCCCATTACATTTAATTTTTATTTTAATCTTTCATTTGGATTTTCTCTCCTATAAACTCTCACCAGCTTCCATTGCTACTGACATTTTGTTAATTTAGTATGCTGTTAATTTAGGTTAATTTAGTATTAATTGATCACTTAAAGTTGCAAATGAGAGTATGATAAATATATGGATTTGAAATAATTCACCATGGGTGAATTGTGAAATGGTTGGCTGAAAAACGTGGCCGAGTATTAGGCAATGATGGACCACATAACCTGTAAGGCTACAGCTGGTCGTTGAAGGGTTAAGTGGGGACAGTATGATCTGATGTGCATTTCAGAAATGTGTTGTGAGACCATTCAAGTGGGCTGCTGCAGTGACCTGAAGTTGGAGCCAGGGAGAGTTAGCGGAAGCACAAAGAAGTGGATTCATTCAAGGCTAGAAGGTAGAATTGATGATTGACTGTGGGGCTGAGAAAGAAGAGAGAGCGCTGACTTCTAGGCTGTGCTGGGGTGGGCTACCAATCAGCGATGCGGTTCACAGAGATAGGAACACACCTGGGGAAGAACAAGTTGGAGGTGGTGGGTGATGCCTCTTGAGTTCAGCTATACACAAGGTCTTGAGTTTTACAACCCCAACCTCAGATGCACTGAAACCACTCTGACTGAGGAAAGCAAGGGGTCTAGGACAGAGAGCTGGAAGATTCATGTTTAGGCATGGCAGTGTGGAAGAAAAGATTATCAGGTAGACCAAGAAGAGATGCAAGGGTAGCTACAGGAACTGGGGTGGGGCAGTGTTTTCAAAAGAGGTGAAAGTGTAGGGCTACTTAAAATTTAGATTTATGAATCTCAGTACTCTAGGAGGCAGAGGCAGGCAGATCTCTGTGAGTTTGAGGCCAGCCTGGTCTACAGAGCGAGTTCTATTACAGCCAGGATGACACAAAGAAACCATGTCTTGAAATACTAACTAACTAACTAACTAACTAACTAACTAACTAACTAACTAACT